GTCCCCGCCCGTGACGAGAGACCTGGGAGGCTCGCACCCGTCACGGACCGCGGCTCTGCAGCCCAGACCTCGGGCCAGGTCCTGGGCCACGGCTGTCCCGTGGCCACGTGCAGTAGGAGGTTCCTCTGCTGCAGCCCGGGTGCGGTCCAACGCCCGGCGCAGCTCGGATAGCGAGCTCACGGTTTGGAGCCGGCTTTCTCTCTGTCTGTGCGACTTCTCCCGGGCGATGGTGAGCAGTCGGCCCACCCTGCGCTCCGCGTAACCCACGGCGATATTCTCTCTGTCCCACTGCCCCGCCTTATGCCACCACCACCGGGGAAGCTTTGATGACTGTGACATCGCCACATCCACAGGCTACTGGCGCCCCACTTCCCGAGCAAGGGGGCCAGCCCTTCGCCCATCAGACCGGCAGGGACTCCTTTCCAAACCCCCACTGCCCGTCTGTGGCCTGTGGCCACTGCTGGCGCCGACGGCTGTGTCAGCCAGGAGACGGGCGGCACATGCAGAAGGCTGAGTAACGAGGGTTTAACGGGGGGACTGTTTTCGGAGGTGCAGGCAGGGCTAAGAGGATGGGCAGGGGCTGGCGGAGAAAGAACCCGGGGTTCACAACTATAAGACGCCATCTCCACCTCTCACCTGGGGAGAAAACGGCGGCACCTGGAGCCGGCGAGGGTTGTGGCTGTGCTGCCCACGGGTGCAGTGGCCATGGGTCGAGGGACACAGAGGGGCACAGCCAGCCGCTGCCCAAAGCACAGATCGCAGGGGAGGCGGGTAAGGAGAATCCCCCCAGCCTCTCTCCCCCTCTGCAATCCGGTCTGTGCCGTGCCTCCATTGCCCAACGCCAAGGAGAAGCCAGAGGGCAGGGGCCTGGTGGAGCCGCCCGCCCAGGTCAGCCTCCCAGGGCACCAGGGCGGGGAGGACGGAGGATGGGCCTGCAGGGACGGGGGGAGCCCAGGCCTCAGAGAGTCCTGGGCATTGTCCCCCCTAGTTGGGAGCAGCAGGTGACACCCACGGTCCCAGCTACGTGGGAGGATCGCTCAGGCCCAGGAGTTCAAGGCCGGCCCGGACAACACAGGGAGGCCCTGTCTCAAAAAAATAAAAAAATAAAAAAAATTTAAGAACAAACAGATTTAATTAAATCTTCAAAAACTAAATTTAAACATTTCATCTTGATTTAAATAGTTTTGATATCAAATGTTAGAAAGCTCTTTAATTATAATTTGTACCTTGCCTTTTCATCTCAATAGACACTTTTGAATCTTTTCAAAAAAAAAACAACTGAAAATGCATATAAAATAAATTTGATGTTTATCGTTTAGAGTTTTAATGAAAATATTTACATTTTGTACACCGAGTATAGTTCAATGTACTCTTTAATCTTTTATACCGGCAGACCCCAACCTTTTTGGCAATACACACCAGTTTCATGGAAGACAATTTTTACAGGGCTGGGGATGGGCTGTAAATGCAGGTGGAGTTTCGTTCCTGGCTGGGCCGCTCACCCCTGGGTCCTAAGTTTTTCCGCCAGAGAGGCAAGCTCAGGGGGTGATGCCCGGCCAGGTTCCCAACAGGCCACGGCCCCGTACTGGGCCATAGACGGGGGTTGGGGACCTCAGCTTTATATGGTCGATAAAACACAAATTATGTGAAAGTTTGGGACAGCACAATTTGCCATTTTAGAGAAATTAAGGCAAGAAAAATTAATTTCATTTATTTATTTTATCATTTTTTTCAGAGACAGGGGCTTGCTCTGTTGCTGCCCAGGCTGGCCTGGAACCCCTGGCCTCAAGCCATCCTCCTGCCTGGGCCTCCCAAAGTGCCGGGATTGCAGGTGTGAGCCGACGGGCCTGGCAAGAAAAATTAATTTAAAAAAATAAAATTTTGTTTAAAAAATGTATAAAGTCTATAACGCATGAATTTACATATGTCTAATGCTCACATGAACATTGCCCTCCCCTCAACATTCAAGTGCAATTATAATTAAGTTTGGCTGTATATTCTAACAATGTTCAATCATATAAACACCCCAGTGCTGCACATATTTTTTTTGTAGCTATGAAAGCACATACGTCAAGGCAGGAGAATAGAAAGCACCGTGTTTCCCTGAAAATAAGTCCTCCCCATAAAACAAGCCCCAGCAGGATGTCCAAGCATGTGCGCCATAGAAGCCCCACCCCGAAAATAAGCCCTAGTGACGGGCGTGGCTGCGCAGCGCATCTGCACAACCCGTGCGTGTCGTCGCGGAGCGGGAAAGAACACGAGCAGCCCTTCCCATCCACCCCGTCGTGACAGCTGCTGTCCCAGAGGTGACCGGAAAGGTGCGGGCGGCCCCACCAACAAGGTCAGCTCCCCCTGTCGGGTCCCGGCCGTCCTGTGCGTGCTGCAAGCTGAGGCTTTGAGGGGAAAATGACACATCCCCTGAAAATAAGCCTCAGGGTGTCTTCTTGAGGGAAAATAAATAGAAGACCCTGTCTTATTTGCAGGGAAACACGGTATCCCATTTAACAATTTGCAGGTTGATGCAATACAGTTCTCAAGTACCGAGACACGGCGGGTCCCCCTGCCCACTCTCGGCTCAGCACGAACGTCACAGTGGACCTGTGAGTGAGACACGCTTCCTGCCCAGGTTGGCCCCGCACTCCTCACCCAGCCAAAATGCACCGGAGACCCGCGGTGAGCTGAGCACGCTGTCCTCAAAGCGCAAAGTCAAGGCTGGCAGACCTGAGCAGGGCCTGCCCACTGCTGGGACCACGTCCCCGTGGGGGGGGGGCGCCGATGTCCCGGGCTCCACCCCACCCCCACCAGGAAAGGACCGGCGGCTCCAGCTCTGGGCCGTGCAATCAGCAACGGTCTCGAAATAAGACCGGCCCCGGCCTCGCTTAGTCTCCTAGCGCAGAAAAAAGCAACGACAGACAGAAATAGGCTCTGCAAACCAGCACCGGATCCCGGCTCATCCCCGCGGTCAGGGGCGTCTCCGAGTCCTTTACTCCGAGTCCGTCCTCTGCAGGGAGGGCGAGCAAAGACCTCCGGCCTTGGGGTCCTGAGGAGGGACGGAGCCAGGAGGCGGCACAGAGAACTGGCCAGCACTCGGCGCTCGGCCTGCCACGGCCGCTGCTCCGGGGCTGCCGAAAGGGACACGCTTCCAACCTACAGAGAGGAAAAGCAGCTTCCAACGCAGCCACTTTTGAGGCTGACTTTGGTGTCAGAAATCTTCGAGACGATTTAATTACGACGCTTCAGGTCCCCTTGTCCTGGAAAACATGCCTGGGCTCAAGTCTCCCCTCACCCTCCTGAGAGCTCCGTCCAGCAGGTGTCTCCAGGTGAACCGACAGGTGCGGACGGGTCTCCGCTGGGAGCAGAGAGGCTTCTCTTCCCCCCGCCCCTCCGTAGCAGGGACACGGGCTCCCGCGTCCAGCCGCTGCCTGTCACCCTGCACCGAAACCCCGGCAGGCCCCGCCCTGCCAGAAACGCCCCTGACCTCCCTCCTCCCGGCCAGGTCAAGTTCAAAGTGGGTTCTTTATTCTCAGCCACAGTCACATCCCCGCCCACACGGCTGATGGGCCGATGGTGGAAAGCAGGAAACATCAGTGAAACAGGAATTTAACAGGAAACACACAGTCATAATTAGGCCAACTGGCCTCGGACGCTCATTCCAGATCTGAAAGCTCCATCCACCTGGGCAAGACGCCTCTATAGCTCTTGAAACGCCGCTGCTGAAAAGAGGAAGTTTGGGGCCGGGCGCGGTGGCTCTACACCTGTAATCCCGGCACTCTGGGAGGCCGAGGTGGGAGGATCGCTCGAGGTCAGGAGTTCGAGACCAGCCTGAGCAAGAGTAAGACCCCATCTCTACTATAAATAGAAAGAAATTAATTGGCCAACTAAAAATATACAGAAAAAATTAGCCCCTCCTGCCCCCTCCCAGCTCAGGTGTGACGGCCACGCGGGCTCGGGCCCAGCTCGGAGACGTGGCAGGGTGGCCGCGCAGCCACAGGGCCGTGAACCCAGGCCGCACCCCGTGTGCGCCCGTCAGTCCCCCCAAAGTGCCGGCGAGTGGGGCGCCGTGCCGGGCAGCCTCCTGCTCGTGCGTGGCTGGACCAGGGCGCCCAGGTAATCGACCAGACACCCTTCTAGATGTCTCTGTGTCTCCAAAGGCGAGAGCAGCATCCGAACCAGCAGGCGCTGAGTGAAGCGGATCAGCCTCCATGGAGGACTCATTCCAGCCGCCCGGCCCCCGGGAGGAAGGGGAGGGAGTTCGGGCGGCCGCGGCCTTCAAACCCCGGCTGGGCCTTCCCGGGTCCGCCGCGGCTGGCCTGGCACCGGCCACCCCCAGGGTCACAGGAGACAGCGTGTGCGACCTTTCTCCCGCTGTTCCTCCCACCCCCGCCGCACACACAGACAGATGCAGACACGCAGACACACGCAGACACACACACAGAGACACACACAGAGACACACAGACACACACGCAGATACACGCAGACACACGCAGACACACATACACACACAGAGAGACACGCAGACACACGCAGACACACACACACAGACACACGCAGACACACACACAGAGACACGCAGACACACACACAGAGACACGCAGACACAGGCAGACACACATAGAAACATGGAGACACACGCAGACACAGACACACAGAGACATGCAGACACACAGATAGACGAAGACATGCAGACAGACACACGCAGACACACACACAGACTCGCAGACACGCAGACACACACACAGACTCGCAGACACGCAGACACATAGACACACACACAGACAGACGCAGACACGCAGACACACACACAGAGACGCTGACACCCCCCACACGGGCTCAGGGTCTCTGAGCGCGACTCACGGTCGGACGTCCTGGGACGCCGGCAGCAACTCCGCAGCGCCCCGGCCCCGCTGGCTGGGGAAACGGGAGACAGGCGCACGGGCGCCCGCCACCCAGGCGAGCCCGCCTCCGCCCAGGGGTCAAGGGTCAGATCAAGGACACAGGTGGACTCAGCGGCGGCCCCGGCAGGGCACGGCGGGCGTTTATTGGGCGCCGAGGAGGGACGAGGCTCGCAGCAGAGGGAGGCCCCGGGCGGGGGCGGGGCTCCAGGCTTCGCTTCCGGAAGGGTCCGGAGAGCCTCACGCTGGCGCGAGCGCGGGCAGCACTTTTCCGGCGCACTGGCCAAAGCCGACGCGGTACCCGTCTCCCTGGCAGTGTCCTGCAACGGAGAGGGACGGGTCAGCGTGAGGACACCCCGCCCACGGGGACTCTCAGGGACGATGTCCCCACGCAGAGGGACAGGGGGACGGGTCAGCGTGAGGACACCCCGCCCACGGGGACTCTCAGGGACGATGTCCCCACGCAGAGGGACAGGAGGACAGGTCAGCGTGAGGACACCCCGCCCACGGGGACACTCAGGGACGACGTCCCCACGCAGAGGGACAGGGGGACGGGTCAGCGTGAGGACACCCCGCCCACGGGGACTCTCAGGGACGAAGTCCCCACGCAGAGGGACAGGGGGACGGGTCAGCGTGAGGACACCCCGCCCACGGGGACTCTCAGGGACGACGTCCCCACGCAGAGGAGCAGCCCCTCGGGGGAGGAGGTGGCACCTGCCCGCCGGCCGGCCTGCAGCCCTCACCTGTGATGACAACCTCATCCCCGTCCAGCAGGAACCTCCGCGTCTGCCCCTCGCCCAGCTCGATGGCTTTCGTGCCCCGCCAGGACAGCTCCAGCATGGAGCCGAAGCTCTCGGGCTCCTTCGCGAAGGAGGGGAAAGGTCACCGGTGCTCACGTCTGGGTGGCGGGCACGTCAACCCTGGCGCGGACAGCACTCGGCAAGGCCTGTGTCCCCGGCCTCAGTGGCGCCCCCGGCCTCAGTGGCGCCCTCATGGTGGAAGTGCCCCCCGCCCCCAGGCCAGGCACCCCGTCCCTCCTTCCGGTAGCCGGGGCGGCTGCCCACCGAGGGCTCCCGCCTTCGGGACCCTAAACCCCGGCCGGCTGGGGGGCCTGACGCCGCCAGGCCCTTGCTGGGAGTGACGGACGCCGCCCCGCCCCAAGGCCATCGTCCCTGAGGCTCTGTGACTCCCCCCCAGGTCACCCCGGCTCGGGGGAGGGCGGGAGGGGCCACCCCATCCTGGGAGGGGCAGGGGGAGGTGGTGACAACCAAGGCACTGTCAGTTCCTGACTCTGCCCGCCTGTCGCCCTGACTCTTCCCTGTGGAGGCCGAGACCGGCCTCCGGCCTCCGGCCGGCCTCCCCCGGCTGGACTTGAGGGGAGGGGCACCCCTCCTGCACCCCGACAAGGGTGAGGCTGGGGGGAAGATGGAGGGGTAGGTGCGCCCCCCGCCCAGGCCTGAGACCCCTCTGGAGGGCGAGCGGGGCCCCCGGCCCGAGTGGGGAGCAGCAGGGCCCCCCCGCCCCCCGCAAGGCCGCGGGACACTCACCGGGCCGCTGATGGTTCCGGAAGCCAGCAGGTCCCCGGGCCGCAGGTTGCAGCCGTTGACCGAGTGGTGGGCGAGCTGCTGCAGCATCGTCCAGTACATGTGCTGGGGGCAGGGGGGCAGCTGGGCGAGACCTGCCTGCGCACCCCACGCAGGCGCCGGCCCTCCCCCGCTGGGTTGGCTCACAGCAGCGGCAGCCGTGCCCCTGCACCCCGCCTCTCTCCACCCACTCCAGGACCCCGACCTCCGACCTCCCCACCGTGGCCCGCCCCGACCACCCCCTCCAGGAAGCACAGGGAGCGCCCACGGCTCCCCTGGCTGGCTGCGCAGGACCCACATGCCGACGCCCTTCCCTGCCCCCGACAGGGAGGACGACCCCCTCCCCCGCCCGGCCCCAGAGCCCACCTTGAAGTTGGACCTGCATATGGTGGCCGCGCGGCTCATGCCTTCCCCTGTGGGACGGAGGAGAGCCGGCTGTGAAGCCGCCACCCCGCCCGCCAGGGAGGAGGAGGGGACGGGCGGAATTGTCCCGGGTCCAACGCGGTTTCACTTAGTCCGTGGAGCTGACAGCCCCTCGGACGTCCGAGCCCAGAGGCTTCCACGAGGCGGCCGGGCCTGGGAGTGGCCGTCCACGCTCACAGCCACGCCTCCTGCCCCCACGCCCCAGCAGGCGGCGTCAGCCCATCAGGGCACGTGTCCTCTGAGTCCACGTGCAGCCTCGGAATCCTTCTTAACACCGTGCTCCCGGCAGCCACGAACCGGCTGGAGAGAGTGTGGCCCGCGGACACCTGCCCGTCACCTGTGACCGAGGACAGCCACCACCCCCTCGGAGGCCCTCTGGGTGGCTGGGCCATGTGTCCCCTACCCAGCCCCTCCTGTGACGGGCCGTGTGCTATTTACTAATTCAAGGTCTTTTTTTTTTTTTTTTTTGAGACAGAATCTGGCTTTGTTGCCCAGGCTAGAGTGAGTGCTGTGGCGTCAGCCTCGCTCACAGCAACCTCAAACTCCTGAGCTCAAGCGATCCTCCTGCCTCAGCCTCCCGAGTGACTGGGACTACAGGCACGCGCCACCATGCCCGGCTAATTTTTTCTATGTATATTAGTTGCCCAATTAATTTATTTCTATTTATAGTAGAGACGGGGGTCTCGCTCTTGCTCAGGCTGGTTTCGAACTCCTGACCTCGAGCGATCCTCCCGCCTCGGCCTCCCAGATTGCCGGGATTACAGGCGTGGCTTAGGGCCACCGCGCCCGGCCCTAATTCGCAGTCTTTGCTGAGCACCTAGCACATGCGAGGGCACCGGGCGCCATTCCAGGCCTGAGCGGCTCTGATAAGGAGAAGGGTCCTCCCCTCCCTCAACACCAGGCGCCCCCTGGCCCCGCCCGCCTCTGAGGGGCTCGGAGCCGGCTGCTGCTCAGCCAGGGAAGTCCGGGTCCCCGCTGCCCCCCCCAGGCCCTTTCACTCGCCCCGACTTGGAGCTCCGGACTGCAAATTCGGGGCTGCGGCCCTGGGTCATCTGGTCCCTCCCCACAGTGGCCTCCGGGCGTGTCACCCCCAAAGGCGGGAGCAATGCCCAGGAGGGGACACCATGGCAACGAGGCTGTGGGTGCAGGGGGAGCCCGGAACCCGTGACACTCGGACTCAGTCCCCACCTTGCCTCTAGCTGGCCAAGCGACTCGGTGGACCCTTCCCTCTCTGGGCCTCCCTCTCTCTGGGCCTTGCTCTCTGGGCCTCCCTCTCTCTGGGCCTCGCTCTCTGGGCCTCCCTCTCTCTGGGCCTTGCTCTCTGGGCCTCCCTCTCTCTGGGCCTCACTCTCTCTGGGCCTCCTTCTCTAGGCCTCCCTCTCTCTGGGCCTCCCTCTCTGGGCCTCCCTCTCTCTGGGCCTTGCTCTCTGGGCCTCCCTCTCTCTGGGCCTTGCTCTCTGGGCCTCCCTCTCTCTGGGCCTTGCTCTCTCTGGGCCTCCTTCTCTAGGCCTCCCTCTCTCTGGGCCTCCCTCTCTGGGCCTCCCTCTCTCTGGGCCTTGCTCTCTGGGCCTCCCTCTCTCTGGGCCTTGCTCTCTGGGCCTCCCTCTCTCTGGGCCTTGCTCTCTGGGCCTCCCTCTCTGGGCCTCCCTCTCTGGGCCTGGCTCTCCCGACTCGGCGCTGGGAGGGGCCGGCACAGGCTCCAGGCAGGCACTGAGGCCGCTGCCAGGCTCCCTCGGACGGCCCCTCCCTCCCGGAGCCTCCCGACCCCCCCAGACAGCTCTTCCCCTCCTGGGGGGCTCCGAGCCTCCCGCCGGGAACCTCCCCCACGGAGGGCCGAGGCCCAGCAGTGAGAAAGACGCAGACAAAGGGGGCGAGAAACTGAGGAAGGAAGGAGGCGTGGCCCCGCAGGTCTGCGTGTGGCCACCGGGCACCGGTGGGCCCCCAGGGGACGGAAGGTGGCACCTGACTGTCCCTACCACAGGCACCGCGCTGGACCTCCACGGGAGCTGCCGTGCTCAAGGTCCACGCCACACAGCTCAAGGTCGACGCCATTGTCACCCCGTTTCGCAAGGACAAACCGGGGCAGGGACAGGTTGGGGACCCGGCCCACGGCCCTGCAGCCGGGCAGCAGCAGGGGAGGCGGCCCAGCACCTCGCCGAGGCCCAGGTGCCCTCGTGGCCCTGGGCATGCCCCTCCCCCACAGCGTACCTTTCAGGGCCACGGAGAGGTGGATGTCAAACGCGTAGGGCCGGTCGTGGCGCAGGTACGGCAGGGGCTGGGGGTCCTGGGGGGGACACGGCACAGAGGTCACCGGAGCCCCACCCCCGGCAGGAGCGTGGGGTGGGGGTGGCCTCGAGTCCCAGACTCCAGGAAAAGCGGCTGAGAGAGGGGACCAGCAGGTCAAAGGTCAAGGGGCCAAACCAGGAAGTCCCAGAGGCCGGGGGAGGGGAGGGCTGGGGAAGGGGTCCGTGGGGGCGGAGACGGGAGCACCTGAGGCCTGTGGGGGTGGGGTGGGGGGCGAGGCGCTGTGGGCCCTGGGGGCGGGTGGCCCCCACCTGGAGCCCCAGCCCTCCTGATGAACGTCTGCACCTCGGCCCAAGGCTGTGTTTTCCCAAAGAGTGACACGAGTCGCCAGGGGGACAGGACGTCGTTTTTTGGCGAGTTTGGTAGTGCGTGTTTCTTTGTGTGATCAGAGGTGCAGCTGGTGACACTGGACACAAAGCTGCTCTTCTTGACACGTGGTTTAAGTGTTTTTTTGTTTTTTTTTCAGACAGAGTCTAAATTAGCCTCCCAAGTAGCTGGGACTACAGGCATGCAAGACCATGCCTAGCTAATTTTTTCTATATATATTAGTTGGTCAATTAATTTCTATTTTTCTTTTTTTTTTTGAGATAGTCTCGCTTTGTTGCCCAGGCTAGAGTGAGTGCCGTGGCGTCAGCCTCGCTCACAGCAACCTCAATCTCCTGGGCTCAAGTGATCCTCCTGCCTCAGCCTCCTCCCGAGTAGCTGGGACTACAGGCATGTGCCACCATGCCCTGTTATTTTTTTCTATATATATTAGTTGGCCGATTAATTTCTTTCTATTTATAGTAGAGACAGCGTCTCGCTCTTGCTCAGGCTGGTCTCGAACTCCTGACCTCGAGCAATGCGCCCGCCTCGGCCTCCCAGAGTGCTAGGATTACAGGTGTGAGCCACCGCGCCCGGCCATGATTTAAGCTTTAACATGAAACAAGTAACAGTTCCGAAGGGGCAGGAGGCGGCACACAATCAGCGTTTGGGAAGGGCCGGCGCGGGGGAGGCGGAGCCCAGACCCATCTGTCTATTGGGGGCCGGGGAGGAAGTGATGCGCGGGGCTCCCCCAGAGCGAGAGGGGACGGTCTGGGTGACTAGGCAGGCGTGGTGGGGGGAGCAGGGGGCAGCATGAGAGCCCGGGCGTTCCCGGGAGCTGCCTGCAGGGAAAGCCCCCGCATGTCTGCAGCCCAGCGGGGTGACCTGGCCCCAGAGGGGGGTCCAGGTGGCGGAGGGGCCCCAAGGGCAGGGCGTGGAGACGGGCAGGGAGGACGTGCAAAGGCCCGGAGCCCTGCCTGGGCCCCACGGGCGGGACGGGGTTGGGGACAGGGTTGGAGGCACTGCAGGACTCAGGGACAGGGGAGAAGCAGGGAGCTCTGGGGACAGAGAGGCAAGAAGAGCCTGCCAGCTGGGAAGAGTGGGGAGGGGACACAGGACGTCAGGGTGCAGGGGGCTCTGGCCAGTGGCTTTTGCTGGTGGGGGTGGGGCTGGGGCCCAACTGCGGCACTGAGAAGGGGGGATCCCAGCAAGAGGCCGGGCCTGCTGCAGGGAGCTGGGGGGCTGCCGGGCAGGGACCCCTGCCGCTGGGCTGCAGGCTGCATTCTGGGAGTTGGGCTCCAGGGGGCGCCCTGCACAGATGCAGTCTGATGGCGCCTGGGATTCATGCCACTTGGTGTATTGGGGACCCCTCCTCCTGCCAGCCCCGGCCACAGAGAGTCTCCTGGCGTTTACACAGGTCTGTGCTTTCCCCAAGAGCTGTGCTGGGGGCGAGGACACCAGGGAGCAAGAGGGACCCCACAGCTGCCTGGCAGTCACTGCACCCAGAATGCCCCAGGGCCCCCCACGTGCAGGAGGGACCCCACAGCTGCCTGGCAGTCACTGCACCCAGAATGCCCCAGGGCCCCCGCGTGGGCAGACGTGGGTCCCCCCTCCCCCACGCAGAGGTGCGCTCCCTCACCTGCTGGGGACCGGGCACGGCGAAGGGCAGGAGGGCGTCCATGGGCACCACCCAGGGCGAGATGGTGGTGGCGAAGCTCTTCCCCAGGAAGGGCCCCAGGGGCACGTACTCCCACCTCTGGATGTCCCGGGCTGCGGGGAGGCGGGCGCTCGCTGAGGCTGGCGGGGCCTCACCTGTCCCTGGTGAGGAGCCCACGCCGCGCGGGAGCCCCGGGGCGGTGCCCAACCGGGCCGCCAGGGCCGAGGGGCAAAGCAGTGGATGCCTGGGGGTGGGGGGGAGGGACGGGAGTCCTCTGAGGGCGCCAGAGGCTCAGAAGCAGGACGGCAAGGGGGGGTCAGGACGGCCCCAAGGAGGGGACCATCTTCAGATGGGGAGAGGGACAGTCCCTGGGAGCTTGGGCACCAGAATCCTGTCCCACATGTGGCCAGCTCGGGCTCAGGAGCCGGGCCGCTCAGCTTCTAGGCTTAGCAACTAACTGAAATCTCTCTGTGCCTCAGTTTCTCATCTGCAAAATGGGAATATTAACAACATCATCGGGGCCAGCAGGAGAATGCACATGGGCGTTAAGCACAGGGACCGACACACAGTAGGTGCTCGATAAACGTTAGTTATGACGTCGGCCACGGCCTGTCCCCTACGAGAAAACCGGAGCGCAGAGAGGTGAAGGGGCTGGCCCAGCTCTCCAAGCCAGAGTCTGTTTGATGCGGGGACCGGCACTCTCTGTCACCGCACCAATGGCCGGCCGCTGCTGTCCGTGACCGCCCACGGCTTCCCAGGGCCCCGCCCGCCCCGCCGCCGCCCCACCACCGCGGTTACCGCTCCAGTCGTTCATCAGCACCATCCCGAAGATGTGCTCGTGGGCCCTGGAGATGGGGACCGGCTCCCCGAGTCTGTTCCCGGGGCCGACGAAGAAAGCCTGCCGCGGGGGGCGGGAGAGCGGTCAGGGTCTGAGGCTCACCTGCAGTCCCAGGTCACCTGTCGCCTAGAGGGCAAAGGTCGGGGGCTTCCAAAGCCTGGCCGGGGAGCGGGGCGGCCGCAGGGGCCTGGCCGGAGCCCGCCGTACGTCCAAGTCACAGCCCACGCTCGAGCTGTGCGGCGCGGCCTCAGGGGGGCAGGGCCTCGGCGTGGCAGCGCCCACCACGGGCCCCCTCTGCATGCCCAGGGCCACCTCGGCCCTCCCTCCTGCAGGGCGTCCCGTCCCTGGCCGCCCCACACACACCCTCGCTTTGCCTCTTAAGCCCTGACAGCTACACCAGGTTCACGAGAAGGACAGCGCTGGGACTCACGCCACCACACACCAAAGGGCCTCGTCACTCCGCAAAGAGGGAAGAGCCCCTGGCGGGCAACCCCACAGCCCAGCCCGCGCCCCAGACCCTGCTCCGCCGCCCCACCCCCACGTCTGATGAAGCTGCACCGACGTCAAGTCCGGGAACCAACAGGACACCCAGAGGCGTCAGGGAAAAACCTGGGACCTCCAAAAACCTCTCTTTCCAAAGCACCAAAGCACGCAGACTTCGCTAGGACATTTGGGGAACCTGAGTCGCCGTTTCATGTGTTCCGTGGCATACTCCAAACATCGCACATTCTTCGTTAAGATAAAAACAGAATCCCCCAGGGCCCCATCTCACAGAGGAGCCACCTGCCGGGGTGCGGACCACGCGTGTCCTCCGCCCAACCCCCCTGACATGGGCGGGCACAGGGGAAGCACCTGCCTGCAGAGTCCTTCGTCCCCCAGAGCGACGACCCCAGCCCCGAGCAGGGCCCCAGGGGCACCCTCGGAAGGCAGAGGAGGAGGAGGGGGGCTGGCAGGGACGCCCCGTCCCCAGGACTGCGCGGAAGAGCCCCTGACTCCCTCTGCCGGTCTGGAGAAATCACAGGGCAGCCAAGGGTGACAGGCGGCTCTGGACAAGCCAGCTGGGTCCCCAGCCTCCCTCGGCCACCCTGACCCCACTGCCACAGCCGACGTGGCCCCAGGCCCTTCTCCTGCACCTGTGGTGACGGGACCCTCAGAGCTTCCCCAGGCACCTCCACCTGCGCCCCCGCCCGGCCCCGCCCACCACCAGGTGCGGCCTGCCAGGTGCCAGAGCCCTCCCCTCCCGCTCAGCCCCTCCTCTGTCCCCGTCCCCTCTCTCCCCCAGCTGCCCGGACGTCAGCGTCCCTCTTAAAACGGGCAGTCCTGGGCACGCGGGACCGCCGGGGGGGACGGGCCGACGGCAGAGCGTCCACACCCTGTTGTGCCGTCGCGGGACGTTACACTGGACAGGCCGCGAGGAGGTGTCGGCACCTCTCGGCATCACGGCTCACGTCCACGTGCCAGTCTCTCACGGCCTCAGAATGAAAACTTCAATTTAAAAAAGCCTGCGGCCCTGAAGTGCCCACGGATCTGCGGTCGCGTGGGCCCAGCCACGGTGCCACGGGGCGGGTCCCGTGGACTCTGTGGCTCAGGCAGCCACGCTCTACAGAGCGGCCACAAGGGCGGCGCCGTTGCCTCCTGGGGGAACGCCGGGCCAGGTGGGTAGTTACCAGCCCCCATCAGCGCACGGCCTCCAGCCGGCCCACCTAACCGCGCAGCCCGGCTTCCGGCGTCTCTGCTTGAAGAGCCTCAGCTAGCGCACCTCGTCGGCCTGTGCTCGAGAACAGCGAACTGAGCTCGCGCCCACACGGAGCTGTCTGACACGCGTGTGTCCTCCGTGAGGCACACCGGGCGCACGCCGGCTCTGCTGCACCCAGAGGCACCGTCAGCACCCAGCCCTGCACTGGGGGCCGTCAGGAACGGCGAAGCGCCCACGAAGCCCAGAGACGGAAAGCATGGCCTCAGGCAGGCACGGAAAGGCCGCGTGCGCACAGCGTGAGGGCCGAGGCCAGACGGCAGCGTTTGGTGCCTGGTTTGGTGTCAGCCGGGAACGCGCCCGCCGCCTGCCCGCGGCTCGGGTTTTCCCTGCCCGGCAGGCCCAGGAGCGACCCGAAGCCCTGCGGAAGCTAACTGGAGGTCGCAGGAAAATGCTAATAAGCAAGAAGCGAACTTGCAAGGGCAGAGTCTGCGGCAGCGAGGAAGGGGGACTGCACTTCCCGCGGCGGGCGGGAGAGGACGCAGAGCCCGGGGACGTGGCTGGAGGGGTGGCCGCCACGGAGCTGTCCGGGGAAGACGCGCGGTGGGCGGCGGGGCTCACCATCTCCAGCTCCAGGTCCAGGAGTCGGCAGGGGCCGTACACGGGCGGCTGCGCTGCGGGGACAGCAGGGAGGGGGCTGCCGTGAGGCCGCGGTCGCGGGACGCAGAGCTGGCGCCAGTGGGCGGACGCGGGGCCACTCACCGTCGTCGGGCCTCGTCTGTCCCATGGGCCTGCGGACCGGGGTGCCGGACACCACGACGGAGGAGGCGCGGCCGTGGTAGCCCACGGGCAGGTGCAGCCTGTGCAGGCAGGGAGGACCACAGGGCATCAGAGCCGGCGAACGTCGCGACACGCAACACGTGAAAGGTAGAAACTGAGTCAGCACGGACGCTCGGCTCCGAAATCGGCAGGTGCTCCTGAGTGCCTGCCCACGCGTGAACAGACAGCTAACTCGTGTGCCTGCACGCAGCGGAATGTCACGGAAGGACAACATGCAGGGTGACATCGGCCAGTCGTGGAAGGACAACATGCCGGGTGACATCGGCCGGTCGGGGAAGGACAACATGCCGGGTGACATCGGCCAGTCGTGGAAGGACAACATGCCGGGTGACATCGGCCGGTCGGGGAAGGACAACATGCCGGGTGACATCGGCCGGTCGGGGAAGGACAACATGCCGGGTGACATTGGCCGGTCGTGGAAGGACAACATGCCGGGTGACATCGGCCGGTCGGGGAAGGACAAACATTGAAGGACTCCTCCTCTGTGAGGCCCAGAGTGGCCCGAGTCGCAGAGGCAGAGCGACTTGTGGCTGCCGGGCACGGGAGGGACAGAGCTGCAGTCTGCAAGACGGAATGTTCTGGAACAGGAGGGCGGTGGCGGCTGCACAGTGCCAACTGCACTTACCGTTGTCACTAAGTGCTTAAAGATGGGGACGGCGGTAAATCTTGTGTTTATGTGTGCACCCTGCCACAATGTCTTAAAAATCAAAAGGCACGTAGGGGTGAAGCCTGACTGTCCCGCACCCCGAGGGCCAGCACTGGGAGGACACTGGGGGGACAGCGGGCGGTGACGGTCACCACGCACATGGCACCACCCAAGAGGTGGTCTCCTCGCTGTTTCCCTTCGCGACGGCCTGGGCACCCTCACAGAGCACGCTGAGCTCAGACGGGCGACCACGCAGACCACGCCCTGGGGGAGGGACAGCCCCGAGCACGCTGGGGACCCCTACTCGCCGGACAGTTGGGCACGGAGAACCCGGGGTCTAGGACTCGCCGACGGGACGTGCCCCACGGCGTGCCAATGAAGGGCTCCCACGGGGCGTAGGGCGTGGGGACTCTAGTTCCCACCCCGTTCTCTGGATGAAGGAGCTCAGGGGACCCGCCCGTGACCCCACAGCTGCGAAGACTAGGGCTGGGGCCAGTTTCCAGGGGCTGCGGCCTCCTGTCCTTACGGGTCCCCCAGGTCACCCTTATGGGGTCCCCCCCTACCCGACCGCCACCCCGGAGGGGCCTGGCGCCCCCCCCCCCCAGCAGACATGCTTTGCAGGTGGGAAGACGGGCCCTGACCCCGCCCAGGCGCCCCTCGCGACATACCAGTTGGGCATCAGCGCGCTGTCCTTGCCCCTGAACATGATGCCCACGTTGGTGGCATGCTGCCGGGACGAGTAGAAGTCCGTGTAGTCTCCTGGGGAAAACCGGGGGGCCCGTCAGTGACCCAGACGCCCGGGCAGGAGCAAGGATCGGGGCGTGGGACTTGCTTCCAGGGCCCACAGCCGGGACACCAGATACGGAATCCGGAGCCAAGAGTTTCTGAGGCCCACGGCGGGACCTGCATGTGAGTGGCAGCCGCCGCGCCCCCCGGGCATGGCCGTCCCAGGGCAGCCCGCCCGCGCGCCCAGTGCCAGGACAAGGCCTCGCCATGCTGGGCGGGCGGCGTGCAGGCCGGGGCCCTGTCTTCCGCAGGAAGAACCAGCTGGGGCAGTCTGTCCGTTCATCTTCCCAAACCTCCCCTCTGGGGGAAGACAGCTGGGCACGCCCAGTGCCCGCGGCCCACACTGGGGCGCAGGTGGCGAAGGACGGGAGAGGACAGAGTCAGAGCCACAGGTGGACCGGGCCGGCCGCACTCCCCCGCTCCGCACAGGGCAACAGCCGAGACATTTGCGGAAGACGAGATCCGAGACACAGCACAGGCGCGAGGAGGAATCCCCGAGACGACTGGCCCCCAGCGTGCGGGGACGGAGGGGACAGGCTGGGGCAGGGGACTCCGCCCCGCCCCCACCCCACCTGGCCCGGCCCTCCCTCTGGCGAGCTTTGTCCACGCAGCGGCGGCGGCCGAGGACCCAGCCCAGGCTCGAGCGCCGACCCAGGGCGCCCAGACGTCCCCGCGCAGGGCGGCCGGCTCCTGGGCACACGGGTGCCAGGCCCGGCCGGGGAGGTGGCCTCACGGGGCAGACGGACGGACAAGGGGACAAGGAGGGAGGCCACAGGCCGCTTCGGCCTCTCTCTGCTTCAGGCTGGGAGAGTTTCCACAGCTCCAGCTTCCTGCCTGACACTCGTCCAGACTCCCCGGCTCGCTCCACGGGCCGCGCGGCGGCCGAGCCCCTCAGAACTGCAGACTCACAGCTTGGGGGAGTGGGGGGGGGATGGGGGTGGGGGGGAGAGAGAGATACAGACAGAGGGAGGGAAATATATATATATATATATACACACACAGGGAGGGGGGGAGAGAAAGAGAGAGAGAAAGAGAGAAATACAGAAAGAGGGAGAGAGAGACATATACAGAGAGGAGGAGAGAAAGAGAGACAGATATATACAGAGAGAGATACAGAGAGAGGGAGAGAGAAACAGAGAGGGATATATATATCCACACACACACACAGAAGGAGACAGAGACATACAGAGAGAGGGATATGCATATATATATAGAGAGAGATACAGAGAGAGAGAGGGAGACAAACATACAGAGAGAGGGAGAGAGACAGAGAGATACAGAGAGAGAGACATACAGAGAGAGGGAGATATACATATATATATAGAGAGAGATAGATACATATATACACAGAGGGGGAGAGACACAGAGGGAGAGAGACAGAGAGAGGGAGAGACACAGAGGGAGAGAGACAGAGAGAGGGAGAGACACAGAGAGGGGGAGAGACAGAGAGAGGGAGAGACACAGAGGGAGAGAGACAGAGAGAGGGAGAGACACAGAGGGAGAGAGACAGAGAGAGGGAGAGACACAGAGGGAGAGAGACAGAGAGAGGGAGAGACACAGAGAAGGGGAGAGACAGAGAGAGGGGAAGAGACAGAGAGGGGGAGAGACACAGAGAGGGAGAGACACAGAGAGGGAGAGACACAGAGCCGGCGAGTGCCGGGCAGGCAGCCGTGTGCAGCACCCGCAACCCGAGCCGTGGCACAGGCCGCGTTAGCTCTGGGCCTGGGTGCTGAGGGCGGGCAGTGACGGGCAGGGGACAGTCCCGGGCCCTCCATTCCCGCCGCCCGCACGGACTGGCCGCCCCCTGGGCCCCGGCCCCCGCCCCTGTCCCGGAGGACACGCACTCACCGATGGTGGCCGGGAGGTGCATGGTGGCGGAGGCCTGGGGGGTGAAGGCGCTGCAACAGAGCGGGCGCCGGGTCAGGCGGGGGCAGCGCGGCTCCCGGCTCTGCCCGCCCACCGCAGGCTCAGCCCAGACCCCGACCCAGGCCCGCTCCAGTCTCCGGGGTGGGCACGGGCCGTGCGGGGAGGGTTTGCGCCCAGCGGGGCCGCAGCGCCTCCTTCCCGCCTCTGTGCCCACCCGGGCGGGGCAGCAGGACCTCCCACCGTGCCCCCACCCACCAGCGCCCGCTCCTCACCGCCTGCGCAGCTCCGCGTCATCCCTGAGCCGGGCCTGGCCGGCGGACAGCAGGTCCTGCAGGAGCGCCCTCGCCTCCGTCCAGGCGGCCTGCCCCAGGCCCATGAAGCTGTTGAGCACAGGCTGGACACACGGGGGGAGGACAGCGTCACCCCCAGGGAAGCCCCGGGACCCTCCTGCTGACCGACCGAGGCCAGGTGCCCGGCCCGGCCCCGCCGCCTCCCTCCCGGTCACGCCCACCCCGGGACCGCCGCTCCCAGTTTTGCGATCTCTCTCTCCTCCAAGCCGGAGAGAACGGTGTCACCTCTCTCCACGGTCCCTCGGCCCCTCACGGACACGCGCCCACCGCCCAGGCCCAGGAGCTGCGCCCGGGGACCGCGACCGGCAAGCCCTGCCCGGCCTGCGGCTGCAGGCGGCGCCTTTCACACGGGGCGGCCACGGGCCCTGCAGCAGGGGTGCCGCAGCCCGAGCCGCCCTGGAGGATCGCTGGGAAGTGGTGTCGCAGCCGGCGGTGAGGCGCGGCAGAGAAAGCGCTTGCCGGTCCTGAGCTGCCGCACGCGAGGCCCGGGAGAGTCATGTCTCCTCTCGGATGCTCGGGGCCCCGCCTGGCTGGTGACCCCCTACGGCAGGGGGTCCTTGGAGGGGGCCCCAAGGAAAGGGTGTGTGTGCTGCTCCTGGCATGCGGCAGTGCCCGGTGGAGCCCCCGCCTTCCAAGGGAGCCCACGTCTAAGGACGTGCGGTCACTCCATCCCGAGGGTGCACGGGCTCCGGGCCGACCCCTCCCGGCTGTGTCTGCAGACCTGGGGGCAGGGCTTGTGCTCCCTGCCCCCGCCTTGTCCCTGCGCACCCCCAGGCCTTGGGCGCTGGCGGGGGCTCAGGCGGCCCGGTGCGGAAAGGAGCCGGGGCCCCTGGAGAGCTTCGTCTCAGAAACGGCGGCCGGAGGGATCCAGCACTGCAGACACTGAGCTCTTTTCCCCTGGGAACCCCCCTGCGTGAGAAGCCACCCTGGGGAGCCCCGAGGCCACCTCCTGCCAGCCTGTCTGTTCCAGAACAGCCCCAGCCGTACGTGCCGTGTTCCCCCGAAAATAAGCCCTCCCCATAAAAGAAGCCCCAGTGGGATGTCTGAGCATGTGCACCATAGAAGCCCCACCCCGAAAATCAGCCCTAGTGACGGGCGTGGCTGCGCAGCGTGTCTGCACAACCCGTGCGTGTCGTCGCGGAGCGGGAAAGAACACGAGCAGCCCTTCTCATCCGCCCCGTGAGAGCTCTGTGGCTCCACAGGAGAGATCGGGGCCGGTGGTTCTAAAGGAAACAGAGTCGCAAGACATTCAGGATGGGATTCGGGGTCTGGAGAGTGAGGATGATGTCCCAGAAGAAGACGGCTGCACTGTATTTGGATAAATGTAGATGGCTGTCCCGTACTTAACCGTACTTAAATAAAATAACACATCCCCTGAAAATAAGCCCTGGGGTGTCTTCTTGAGGAAAAGTAAATATAAGGCCCCGTCTTTTTTTCGGGGAAACGCGGTAAGTAAAACCTCCAAGACCTCAGAGAGGGTTTCCAGGTGGCGTTTGCAGTAAGTGAGATCGGGGACGGGTCATCTCACAGTGTCCTACCTGATCGAAGACATCCTGGTGTCGGGAGAGGACAGGCCCGGTGAAGAGGTGTTTGATGACGCTGAGGTCCAGGATCTGGTCACCGATGGCCACGCCGATCCTCGGTCTGGGCTGGGAGGGAGACGGCGCGGTCAGCACTAGGCAGAGCCTCTGACCGGGCTTGGCCCACCCGCTAGAAAGCCGGTCTCCCGAGCAGCCCGTGGCTGCCCCTGTGGACGGCGCTTCCTGCAGAGGGGACCAGGAAACTGGACCCACAGACCCTGTGCCACCCTTTGTCTCCGCTTCCGAGACAAAAGGGAAAAAGAGGCTGTGTCCCTTGAATGGGAAATAAATCAAACACCCCTTGGAGTGGGGGAAGAGCAGGCAGCCCGGCCCGAGCCCCTTGTCTAGGCAAAGTCCCCTGCAAAGTTCCCCAGGCATTGCTTAAATGCCTCCAGTGATGAGGAGCTCACTACCTTAACTGGGAAGCCGGGTTAATTTTTGGGTTGAACCCAGGCCTTCGCTCAGGGCAATTCATTTGCGCAGCCCGGCAGCGAGTGCCCCAGGCACAGCGCTGAGGGTCAGGTGGCCGGGCCGGAGGGCCCTGCTGCAGCTCCGGGGGAGGAGGGCTCAGGTGTGAAGGAACCAGGCTGATCAGAAAATGGGGGGCACAGGGGGGTCCTTTCTGCTCCATCAAATCCCAGTGAAGTAGATAGACTAAAGATGGCTCCTGTAAATCTAAAGTGGAGTCGGTCTTGCTCTAACTATTAGTAAAAGTTCCCAGAGGAAGTTCCCAGGAGAGGGAAGGGGGAGTTGAGCAGGCCTGTTCCCAAAAAGAATAGAGAGGTCCTTGTTCCAGGAAAAGCCCCTTGTCCCTCAATGAACCTCTCCACTGTTCGCTTGATTAACGACTAACGTCAAAGTTCTGCTTCTGTGATTGCGCGCTTGCTTAGCCGCCAGCCCCAAAGGTATCAGAAAGCCGCAAGGGCCTTGTTCGGGGCTGCTTCTCCCTCCTTGCATGTAGTGGTGGCAGCCCCTGCGCAGGTAGAAATAAACTAATTTGGCTGATTGGATTCTGGTGTCCGAGTCCCCTTGATCCGCTGGCTTACAACACCAGCAGCAATGCTGACTAATACAACGTCCTAAACATCCGGCAAAGCGTGGCCTTTGTCCCCAGGCCCCTGAGCTCTGCTCTCAAGGAGGAACCAGAGAGCGTGTTTGCAGAGCCCCCGCCGGGCCGTCCCGAGCCAAGATCCGGGCTCTCCTGAACCGCCCGCTTTGCCACGGCAGTCCCAGGAGCACAGGGGTGGGCTGTGGCCACTTTGGTGGGCTGAGAGAAGACGGCCACCTCCCCATGCGTGTCAGCTCCCGGGGGCAGGCCGACCGGAGCTGTAACCTCGAAGCGCCGAGGCCCCGGCAGAGTCTGCCCTGGAGGAGGCTGCCCCCGAGAGCCCAGCTACCCACCCTGGAAAATGGCACAGCTACTGCAGGGGACAGGGCTGACCCACCAGGCCCCACGTGGCCGTGCACTCAGGGGACAGGCAGAGCAGACACCGGGCCCATCTCCGACCCTGGCCCCACACCCAGCTGGAGCCGGGAAACAGCCACTGAGCAAACTGCAGGGTCTGCTCACAGCGGCCGCCTGCTTCCTCCGCTACAAACCAAGCCTAGAAGCACCGGGTGGCCAGTCACCGCCCTTGTGCTTCGAACTGCAACCCCAGGACCTGGAAAACCAGTTTGAGGGAGTGAGTCCCTCCACCTGCAGCCTTGGGAGTGATTTTCTTCCGTGCTAGGCTAGAAGGGGCTCCCCGGGTGAAATACAGGATCCCGGGGGACGCCGGCCTGCTCCCACCATCCTATCCCTTCCAACAAGTCCCCGGTCCTCTCTGAGCCTCAGTTTCCCATCCGTAACTTGAGGGAGGAGACAAAGTAGGGAGAGATAGCCCACGTGTGTAACTTTAAGGACCGAATGGGCATTGCCTCTGTTTTGCAATGTTTGGCCGTATCTAATGCACGATTGCCCAAAGCAAAGCTTTCCCTAAGCCCCCGCCTGACAAGGACAGTGTGGGGTGGGGAGGCTGGCAGATGTGGGGGGTCCAACCCCAAACACACACGTTGCTGGCTGCGAGAACTGGAGCCTGACGCTTAGCCTCTCTGAGCCTCAGTTCCCCATCTGTAAAATGGGGACAGTAACACAATGGTAGGTTTGTTGCGAGAATTCAATGAATGTCTGTACGTAGACACCGGTCATACCATAAACTCTTACAGGGCCTCCTCTCAGCGCCAGCCCTGCGCGGAGGCTGCGGGAGGCTCTGGGGACAGAGGAGTGACTTGGTTTCCGCCCTCCAAAAGCAACAGGAGGAGACAGTGCGGGGCGAGAGACAGCCAGGGCCGGGCGTGGAGGGAGCTCATTCTGAGCGGTGCCGAGGGGACGCCTCTCTGTGGAGATGACATTTGCACCGAGTCCTCAAGAGTGAGAAGGACCCAGGCTTGCAGAGACAGAAGGAAGAGGATCCCGGCCAGAAGGAACAGAGAGTGCGTGGGCCCTGAGGCGGGAAACCACGTGTCTCAGAGCCCGGCTGGAGTGGGCAGAGGCCAGGAGGCCGGGCAGGGCCGGGTCACAGGTATGTGCCAAGGCACTCAGCAGATCAGCCCCAGACCACACAGTCCGTCCTCGGGGGGCCCCCAAACCTGCCTCCACAGAGAGCACTGTGCACGCCCTGCCCGTCCCGAGTCGGCGGGAGGGAGTCCCCTGTGTCTTTGGTGCCCAACTCCCAGCCCAGAGTCCCGCCCAGAGTCGGGGTTTGTGAGCATTCATGGAGTAGAGGAATGAATGAGGTGACGGCCGCATTAAGTCACTGTTGTCCCACCCCACGGAGGACGGCCCAGCTGCCGACAGGGGTGAGGGGGTTTTGCCTCGGCAACTAGGCCGGCCTGGAGAGGCAGCCGAACCGCCGGAACGTGGAGCACCGCAGTGACAGCTTTGGTCGAGGCCTGTTCAGCCGGATGGCCCTGAGCCTCTGGGAGGCCAAGGGCCCCTCTGCCTCCCCGGCACTTCCCCAGGGCCTCGTGCTCCTGGACTTCCCCCAGGGCTGCTCCCCATGCTGCAATGTCAAGAAAGCAGGCCCTGGCAGGCGGCTCATGCCTGTGATCCTAGCACTCTGGGAGGCCGGGGTGGGCGGATAGATTAAGGTCAGGAGTTCAAGACCAGCCTGAGCAAGAGCGAGACCCTGTCTCTACTAAAAATAGAAAGAAATTATATGGACAACTAAAATATATATGTAGAAAAAATGAGCCAGGTGTGGTGGCGCATGCCTGTAATCCCAGCTACTTGGGAGGCTGAGGCAGTACGACTGCTTGAGCCCAGGAGTTTGAGGTTGCTGTGAGCTAGGCTGACGCCCCAGCATTCATTCTAGCCCAGGCAACATAATGAGACTGTCAAAAAAAAACACAACAAAAAAGACAGCAGGACGCGCTGTCTGAAGGCCCCTAGCTGCACTCCGAGAGACAATAAATTGATTCCCCTGGGAAAGCAAGTCAGGGCGCCCTACGTGTGTGTGGGGGGGTGCACCCACCTCCCCCCAGCGCTTCTGTCCAGGGGTTTTGCTCCCAGCAGGGGTGAGGCCAAGGACCCGCCTGCTGAGGGCAAAGTGTGAGGAGGCGGCAGAGGGCGGCCCTGCCTGCAGAGGGGTGGTTGGCCAGCCGGGTTAAGGTTTAACGGCCTCTGGTTTGTGTCCTCCGGGATTGAATGTTAACTTTCTGAGTCCTTGCGACATCTGGCCGGGTCTGCCAGTTGTGAAACCACGAGTTGGCCCTTGCAGAGGGAGGCAGTGCCACAGGCGGGCCACGGAAGGCGGGCCACTGCGGGCCGGTGGCCAGCCAGGGCGGAGGGGCCTCCCTGCCCAGGACGGGGCCTCCCTCCGGCCAGGCACCGGTCAGCCAGCCGGCGCCCCCTGCACACTGGTGGGGTCAGGCAGATCCTGGGGCGCTGCGGCTCACAGGCCGAGTCAGGACCGTGCCTTGAAAGCTGGGAGCCAAATACCATAAAGGAATCCAAGGGAACCTGCCTTTCTCGCCCAGGGCCCCCGTTTTTATCTACCCGCTAAGAGCCCCCCGTTTCCAAAGGTTTCTTTCTACCGACCAGACCGCACCTGGCCAAGCCCGAGCTCCGTTCCTCTCCCTCTGACGGGCGGGGGAAGCCAGGCGCCCGCAGGCGACAGGACCGCGCCGACACCTGCTCTGGGCAGGAGCCGCGCCCCTGAGCCGCCCAAGTGCGGGCTCTGGGTCGGGACCGACCAGAGACAACCAGCAGCCCGGCCTGGGCCGCGCGGGCGCACGAGAGGGACCCGCCCGGCCACGGCGCCCGCCCCGCGCCCCGCGGCTGCGGCGTGTCCGGTGTCGCGGGCCGCGGCCACACGACGTGCACAGCCGGACGCCGCGCGGGACTCGAACCCGCGGCCCCGGGCCCGGCCGCCCCACCCCCCGCTCGCTCACGTTGCCTGCGGTGCTGAACACGCCGTACGGCAGGTTCTGGATGGGGAAGTCGCAGTCCTCGGCCACCGGGATGAACGACATGCTGGCGGCGCGGCGGGCGGCGGGCGGACTGCTCTCGCCCCGGCCAGCGGCCGGCAGGCCCCGCCCACTGCCCGCCCCTTGCCCCGCCCACAAGCAGCTCATTGCCCGGGCCCACCCACTGCCCCGGACCGCCCCTTGCCCCGCCCACTACCCCGTTCACTGCCCCCTGCCCCTCCCACTGCCCCAGACCGCCTGCCCCGCCCACTGTCCGCCCCTTGCCCCGCCCACTGCCCCGGACCGCCTGCCCGCCCATTGCCCCGCCCATTGCCCCCGGCCCCGCCCCGCCCCGCCAGGCCCGCCCACTGCCCCGCCCATGCGCAGCTCACTGCCCCGTCGCGCCCACTGCCCCGGCCCGCCTGTCCCGCCCATTGCCCCGCCATTACCCCTGTCCCGCAGCCGCCCGGCCCCGCCCATTTCCCCGCCCACGACAGTTCATTGCCGCGGTCCCGCCCACTGCCCTCGGCCACGCCCATTTCCAGGCCCCGCCCACAGCCAGTTCATTGCACCGCCCCAGCCTGGGGCCGGCCCCGCCCACTGCTCCAGCCCGCCCATTTCCCCGCCCCGCCCACGGCCCCGCCCCCCGCAGGTCCCAGATTCCCCGCCTGTCACTCTGTCGGCCATCCCAAAACCCCTTCGGCCTCGCCACAGTCCGCCGCATCCGCCGTCCGGCGCCGTCGCCGCCGCAGGTCAGATCCATGTCACTGCCAGCCGTCCAACCCGCCTCCGCCGCCCCGCCGCCGCCGCGCCCCGCGCCGCGGTCAGCCCCGCCGTCACTCACGCCCGCTGGAGCGCCGTCCCGCCGTGCAGGCCCGAGGCGCGGGCTCGCGTCCCCAGCTCAGCGCCGCCCCGCGCCGCGGGGCTCTGTCCGCACGGCCGTGCCCGCAGGAGAGGAGCGCGGCGGCCGGGCCTCCTGAGCGCGGACGGGCCGGAAGCCGCGCCCAGCCCTGCGGCCTAGCAACGGCGCCCTTGAAGAACCAGCGGAAGGCACAGGCTGCAAGATAGACCCCGACATAGAAACCGGTATTTGAAACTCTTCTTTTTTATTTTTTTATTTGTTTTTTGAGACACAGTCCCACTCTGTCACCCAGGCCGGAGTGCAGTGGGGTCATCACAGCTCACTGCAGCCTCGAACCCTGGGCTCAAGCGATCCTCCTGCCTCAGCCTCCCAGGTACCTGGGACGACAGGTTGCATCCTCACACCCGGCTAATTTTTTTGTATATTTAGTAGAGACGGCGTCTCACTCTTGCTCAGGCTGGTCTCGAACTCCTGGTCCCGAGCGGTCCTCCCGCGTCGGCCTCCCAGAGTGCTGGGATCACAGGCGTGAGCCACCACGCCCGGCCCTGAAACCCTTACTCTCCATTAATTTGCTTTGGACATTCTCAAAAATGCAATGAATTAATTAGAGTCAAAAGTTAATGGATTAATGGACACATCAGAGCTGCCTGAAAGTAAAAAAATGAAAAAAAAAAAAAAATCAAGCCGAAATCCTACATATTGATTTTAAGGAACATTTTAAAGGTTGAATGACCACCCCAGGATTTGTAAAGATAACTTCTTCCTTTATGGGCGTTTTTAGATGATTAATAATGATAAACAGGCGGACGACTTTCAGGTAAGTAAGAAATGTCATGCAACTCCTCTGCCCGCAGCGTCTGGTCCCGCTTCTCCTCTCATCCACTGTCCTGCCCCAAGTCACTGTAAATCGTCCCCCTTCTTGGGAGCACACGTGCCAACAGCCCCTCACGTCTCCCAGCAGTTCCTGTCTTCCTTCCCTTGTGGTCACCTCTAGGACAACTCCAGTGTGTGCCGAACAACTTGTCCTTTGAATAAAGCACCGTGTTTCCCCGAAAACAGGACAGGGCCTTATAATTATTTTTTCCTCGAGAACACACCTGGGGCTTATGTTCAAGGGATGTGTTGTTTTCCCCTCAAAGCCTCAGATCGCAGCACGCACAGGACGGCCGGGACCCGACGGGGGAGCCGACCTTGCTGGTGGGGCTGCCCGCACCTTTCCGGTCACCTCTGGGACAGCAGCTGTCACGACGGGGCGGATGAGAAGGGCTGCTCGTGTTCTTTCCCGCTCCGCGACGACACGCACGGGTTGTGCAGACGCGCTGCGCAGCCACGCCCGCCACTAGGGCTGATTTTCAAGGTGGGGCTTCTATGGCGCTCATGCTTAGACATCTTGCTGGGGCTGGTTTTATGGGGAGGGCTTATTTTCGGGGAAACACGGTATTATGACTGTGAACAGTTTGCGTTAAAAAAAAAAAAGGAAGAGGAGGCAGAAGAGACAGGAGAAGAAGGGAGGAAGTGAAGGGAGGCGGCTGTCCTGGGCTGCACAGGTCTTGCCTAATCGCCTGCCTGCGGCCAAGCACCCTCTGCTGGGCCGCGTCTCAGCTGGGCCGCGGGCGCACGCCTGAGACTGTCCGACTGCACGGATGACCCGGGCGCACCTCTGATCAGTAGGACGCCGCCAGGTGCCGAAGATGAAGACGGCAGCTTGGACGAGGGGCCCCTGAGGACCCCTCAGGGGTGACACGGTGACTGCTGAGTTGGAGGGTGCTGGGCAGTGCAGCACAGACGGCAGGACAACGTGACCCAAGCAGGCCTTGAAACCAGAAGGCCCGAGACGGGCGTATTTCAGGTAAAGCTGACCGCCCAGCCCCCCCAGTCCTGAGATGGCCCGGTGCCAGCCTGCCGGGCCTGACCAGCGGGCAGCGGTCGAGGAGCTCACTCTGGGCACAGCTCTCGGCTTCTGTCCCCTGCCCCGGGCGGACCCCAGTTCTTGTGTGGCTGACGTGACTTGTTCCCATAGGTTCCCGAAAGGGGAAAAGGAAGAGGAGAGTGTCCCAGCTCTGTTCTGTGGCCTCAAAAGGAGGCAACCCCAGGCAGCACTCGGCACCTACCGTGTTTCCCCGAAAACAAGAGGGGGCCTTATGTTTATTTTTCCTCAAGAAGACACCCTAGGGCTTATTTTCAGGGGATGTGTTGTTTGTTTAAAGCACAGTACAGCCATCTACATTGATTCAAATAGAGTGAAGTCGTCTTCTTCTGGAACATCACCCTCACTCTCCAGACCCCGAATCCCGTCCTGAATGTCTTGCGACTCTGTTTCCCTTAGAGCCACCGGCCCCGATCTCTCCTGTGGAGCCACAGAGCTCTCACGGGCGGATGGGAAGGGCTGCTCGTGTTCCTTCCCGCTCCGCGACGACACGCACGGGTTGTGCAGACGCTGCGCAGCCACGCCCGTCACTAGGGCTGATTTTCAGGGTAGGGCTTCTATGGCACACGTGCTTAGACATCCTGCTGGGACTTGTGTTATGGGTAGGGCTTATTTTCGGGGAAACACAGTACCTGACTCTACTCCTCAGCCACCAGGCAACGAACCGCTCACGTGTCCCGCGGTGGCCCTGCGTCTCCCCTGAAAGGCGGGGTAGGGCCTGTCTTTCTGACTCTGGGTGCCGTTTTGTCAACACCCAGCAAAACACCTGGGGCGGAACAGAGTCTCCTTCCTCTTCGGGTAACGGAGAGGAAGCCGTTGATGAGAGGCAAAGCCGTGGGTAAGCAGCGGCCCTGCTCCACGCCAGCAGCTCGGCCCCTCCAGCCCCGGTCACGGAGCACGCGTGTGTGGGGCGTCGGGGCCTCCCAGAGCACACGCGAGTTGGGGTGGGGCCTGGAGGATCCCGGCCGCGTCGTGAGAAAACCGAAACCCGCTCCGGGGGCAGGGGTGGGGCAGACGTGTTGGGGAGGGGTGTGGGGAAGAGGTGGCTGAAGGGGAACTATGATGTCACAGCCTTAAAACAGGTTTGCCGCCCGCTAAGCACGCGCAGAGTCCGGAAGCGCGAACGAGAAAGCTGTTCTGTTTGGAAAACGGCGTGTGAAGTGGCTCGAGGGCGCACACACTGCGTTTCCTTCTCCTCTTTTGGGAGGGGCCGTGTCGGGCATTAGGACGGTTACAGGAAAGAATTTTAGGCCGGGGAGGTGGCTCACGCCTGTCATCCCAGCACTCTGGGAGGCCGAGGCGGGAGGATCGCTCAAGGTCAGGAGTTCGAAACCAGCCTGAGCAAGAGCAAGACCCCGTCTCTACTATAAATAGAAAGAAATTAATTGGCCAACTAATATATATAGAAAAAATTAGCCGGGCATGGTGGCGCATGCCTGTAGTCCCAGCTACTCGGGAGGAGGCTGAGGCAGGAGGATCGCTTGAGCCCAGGAGTTTGAGGTTGCTGTGAGCGAGGCTGACGCCACGGCACTCACTCTAGCCTGGGCAACAAAGTGAGACTCTGTCTCAAAAAAAAAAAAAAAAAAAAGAATTTTAAGGAAAAATATTGCCCCTAATCCCACCAACTTGCAGTCTTCCCGTTCCCGTGGTTTTTCTCATCCTCTTGGTGTGCATGTGATTTCCTGCCTTTGCAAACGCCGCGTAGACGCAGTTTCCGTGTTTCTCCTCGTCGTTCTCCCGGCATTTCTCCGTGTGGCCCAGCAGGCCTCCTCGGTACCATTTTCATCCGCTGCGGAAGTTGCGATGTTCTCGCTGGTGATTATAGCGGGGCAGTGAGTAGGCGCTGGCTGTTTTCCTTTCTCTAGAGCAGGGGTCCTCAGACTTTTTACACAGGGGGCCGGTTCACCGTCCCCCAGTCCGCTGGAGGGCCGTTGGAGAGAGCGGGCACATTCCACACGTGCGTGTGCACTGTGGGGCCGGGACGAGCCGGCTGCTGAGCAGGACAGGCAGCGGCAGCAAAAACACTCGGCGGGCCGGGTAAATGTGCTCGGCGGGCCGCACGTGGCCCTCGGGCCGTAGTTTGAGGACGCCTGCTCCAGACTGTTGTCTGGGGTAGATTCTCAGTCGTGGGGGCCAACGGCTGTGAAGACCAGACCCGGAGTGGGTGTCAGCACCTCCACACGGCGGGCCGGTGCCGAGAAAGGAAAACAGCCAGCGCCCTGGTGCCATGCACGCCGGCCCTCTGACGCCTGCGCCCAGCTCACTGCCTGCAGGCCTCGGCCCGCAAGCTGCCCTGCACCCCCTTGCAAGACAGCCGGGGGTGGGGGGTTGGGGGGCAGCTTTCCCGACCCCAGACGCCCATGTCATGGGAAGGCTCCGAGAAACCGATAAGCAGGGCAAGGAGGACAAGGCCTGCACGGGGAGGCAGCCCGGTGGCCTTTCTACCAAACCTCAGAGTCACCCTTCTCCCCCGCCCCTACAACACGCACTTGAACTTGAAGTGCTTAAGGTCAGTCCCCAGGTCCTCTGACTTTTGAGCTCCTTTGAGCAAAGAGAATGTCACACATTCTCGCAGGACAGATGGCCCTCTGATGCCAACACGCACAGGGCACACGCCAAGCACAGGGCGTCCGCTGCAAAGTATCTGCAGGGACCACTACTGAGCTCGGAACTCAGGGAGAAAAGGCATCGCCTTCCTCGGCACGCCTGGCCTGTTTTCTCCACGGCCGGGAAGCGGAACTCAGCGAACAGAACCAGCTGGGGCAGAGCTAGGTTTTTTGCAGATTCTCTTCTTCCTGCGTCCTTTGATTCTGCCCTCGGTATGCTTTGCCGCAGGCTCCTCGCGTCCACGTCCTGAGTTCCGAGGGGCGCTACGCAGACACGCTTCGGATTTAAGCTGCAGCCAAAAGACTCACAGACAACAAGGAGCGTGGTGAGTAGAGAGTGTCACTGACGTTTGACCTCGTGACCACGTGCACCGCGCACAAGCTCCCGCTTTCTGCTATGGAAGCACCAGCAACGTTTCAGAGTCCCCCTCACTGTGATTTCAGCCAGACACTTCCAACTGTGCTTTGGTCTCTTGTAAATGACCACACAGTCAAGAGTTTTCCCACCCAAATTTTTCCTGTTTTCCCACCCAAATGCTCAGTGCCTTTTTGAGGGTTCCGTTCTGCTCCCAGAAATGCAGAGAAGTGTTGACACAGCTGTACCCCGCATGCCACCTGTATGGTGCAGCTGCAAAGATAATTTTCAGTGCCCTCTCGTGCACCGTGTTTTACTCTGTCCGTGGTAACCGTGCACGGAAATCCCTCTCTCGCTCTCCCTCTGTCTCTCTCCCTCTCTCAAGGTTGGCCGGGCATGATTTTTCCTTGTGGTCCCTGGATGCTGAACAAAAGGAGACTCTATGTGTTACGATGTCAAACAAGGAGCACGTCAATTCTCTCCAGAACATCTCCGGCTCCAGAACACACATGCCTGAGTTTGGGTAGGTTAGTGTACCTCACTCCCCCCATCTTAATTTCATGCATTGTGAAAATGAAATAATAAAAATGATTATCAGCCTTGTTACTGTTTTCCATAATGGCTGTGCTACTTTACATTCCCACCAACAGCGAGTAAGGGTTCCCCTTTCTCCATGTCTAACATTTGCCTTTCATCTTTCTAACAACAGCCATCCTAACAAGTGTAAAGTGGCATCTCGTTGTGGTTTTAATTTGCATTTTTCTGATAATTAATGATGTTGAATGTTTTTTTGTATGCCTGTTGACCATGTGTATGTCTTTTGAGAAATATCTATTCAGATCCTCTGCCCATTTTTTAATTGGATTGTTTTCTTACTATTTGTTGAGTTGTTTGAGTTCCCTATACATTTCGGATTTTAACCCCTTACCAGATGTGTGGTTTACTAACATTTCTTCCCATTCTGTGTGTTGTCTCTTCAATCTTTTGATTGTTTCCTTGGCTATACAGGTTTTTAGCTTGACTGTAATCTTATTTGTCTATATTTGATACAAAAAATCATTGCCCAGGCCAATGTCATGGAGCTTTTCCACTAGTAGTTTTATAGTTTCAGGTCTTATGTGTAAGTCTTTAATCCGTTTTGAGTTGATTTTTGTATATGGTGTGAGATAACGGTGATAAGGGCCTAAATTAATTCTTCTGCATGTGGATACCCAGTTTCCCTAACACCATTTATTGAAGAGACTGACCTTTCCCTATTACGTATTCCTGGCACCTTTGTCAAAAATCAATTGACCATAGCATGGATTTCTTCCTGGGCTATGTTGTTCTTCATGCTGTTTTGATTACTATAGCTTTGTAGTAGATTTTGAAGTTAGGTAGCATGATGCCTCCAGATTTGTTCGTTCTTTTTGCTTGAGATTGCTTGGCTATTTAGGGTCCTTTGTGGTTCCATACAAATTTTAGGATTGCTTTTTCTATTTCTGTGAAAAATGTCATTGGAATCTTGATAGGGATTGCATTGAATCTGTAGATCACTTTGGGTAGTATGGACATTTTAACAATATTGATTCTTCCAATTCATGAACATGGGATATCTTTACATTTATTTCTGTCTTCTTAATTTCATTGATATTTCAGTTTCCAGTGTTTTTCACCTCCTTGGTTAAATTTATTTCCAAGTTTTTTGTTTGGTTGGGTTTTTGGTAGCTGTTGTAAGTGGGATTGTTTTTTGATTTTTTTTTTTTTTTTAATGGAGAGCAAACACTGAGAATGTTTTTTGATTTCTAAAGATTCCCTGTGCTTCCCCTATTCATTCCCTGACCAATGGCAGCCACTGATATTTTTACTATCTCTATAGTTTTGCCTGTTCCAGAAAATCATATAATTGGAATCATACAGTATATAGCGTTTTTGGACTGGCTTATTTCACTTGCCATATGCATTTAAGTTTCTTCCATGTCTTTTCCTGCCTTGAAAGTTCATTTCTATTATCACTGAATGTTGTTCCATTATATAGATGTGCCATAGTTTTAAACATTTACCTATGGAAAGACATCTTGGTTGCTTCCAATTTTTTGGCAATTAAAAATAAAGCTGTTAAAAACATCTCTGTGTAGGTTTTTTGTGTGGACTTTTTTTTTTTAACCAAGTATACTTTATTAAATTCTTAAACAAACAAACAAAACTATTTTAGTGGGGTCTCGCTATTTGCCCAGGCTGGACTCCGATTCCTGGCCTCAAACAATCTTTCCATCTCAGCCTTTCAGTTAGCTAGGATTACAGGTGTGCACCACAGTACCCAGCTATGTATGTGGTCACAGTTTTTAAGTCACTTGGGCAAATACCTAGGAGTACAATTGCTAGGTCATAGGGTAAGACAAAAATGTTTAGCTTTGTAAGAAACTGCCCGTCTTCCACAGTGGCTGTACCATGTTGTATTCCTTCTAGCAATGAATCAGAGTTCCTGTTGCTCCCCATCCTCAACAGCATTGAGTGTTGTCAGTGTTTTGTATTTTAGCTCTTTTAATAGGTATGTAGAGGTAGATCATTGTTGTTTTAATTTGCATAAAATTAAAATGACATAGGATGTTGAACACCTTAACATTTGCTTATTTGTCATTGGTATATCTTCTTTGATGCAAGGTCCAGATATTTTGCCCACTTTTAATTTGGATTGTTTTAGAGTTTTTTTTTTTTTTTGAGACAGAGTCTCGCTTTGTTGCCCAGGCTAGAGTGAGTGCCGTGGCGTCAGCCTAGCTCACAGCAACCTCAAACTCCTGGCTCAAGCAATCCTCCTGCCTCAGCCTCCCAAGTAGCTGGGACTACAGGCATTCGCCACCATGCCCGGCTAATTTTTTGTATATATTAGTTGGCCAATTAATTTCTTTCTATTTATAGTAGAGACGGGGTCTCGCTCTTGCTCAGGCTGGTTTCGAACTCCTGACCTTGAGCAATCCACCCGCCTCGGCCTCCCAGAGTGCTAGGATTACAGGCGTGAGCCACTGCGCCCGGCCTGTTTTAGAGTTTTGAGTGTTCTTTCTTTGTATGTGTTGTATAAAAGCCCTTTATCGGATATGTTTTGATGTTTTCTCCCAGTCTGTAGTTTGTCTTTTCATCTTTTTAATGGCAGCTTTTTGCAGCGTAGTTAACTTCAATGAAATCCAATTTATCAATTTTTTCTTTCACAAATCATGCTTTCAGTGTTTTATCTAAAAAATTATCACCAAACCCAAGGTTACCTTCAATTTCCCATATATTCTAGAAGTTTCATATTTTTGTGCTTAGGTATATACAAAGATCCATTTTAATTTTTGTGAAAGGTTCAAGGTCTATATGTAGGTTCACTTTTTTTTGCATGTGAATGTACAGTTGACCACCACGGATTGAAAAAAGAGCATCTCTAGGAAGAAGACTATTTCTCTATGAACTGCCAAAGGTTCTTTGTCAAAGGTAAGTTGACTATATTCGTGTTGGTTTATTTCTGGGCTGTTTTATACAGCTGATCTATTCTTGTGCCAATACCAGTCTTCATTATGGGAGCTTTACAGTAAAAAGTCTTGCTTGAAGTTGGGTAGTGTCAGTCTTTGACTTTGTTCTTTGATATTGTGTTGGCTACTCTGGGCCTTTGCCTGTCCGTATGAACTTTAGAATTACTTTGTCGCTATCCACAAAATAACTTGCTAGGCCTTTGACTAAAATTGCATTAATTTATAAACCAACTTGGCAAGAACTGACAGTATTGAGTCTTCCTATCAATGAACTTAGAATAGCTATTTAGCTGATTTTTTTATTTCATTAGTTTTGCCATCTTCCTCACATATATCTTGTCACAATCTATTAGATTTTATACCTAGATATTACCTTTTATTGGTGCTAATATAAATGGTGTTTCTAATTTAAAATTTTCATTGCTGGTATATAGCAATTGGCTTTTGTATATTAACCTTTTTGATTTTTTGCATTTACCTTGTATCCTGCAATCTTACTATAATTGCTTATTGTAATAGTTCCAGTTTTTATGTTGACTCTTTGAAATTTTCTATATAGACAATATATTCTCTGCAAACGAAGACAAGTTTCTTTTTTCCCAATCCGTATAGCTTTTCTTTTATTGTATTTGCTAGGAATTCCAGCACAATGTGGAATAGGACTGGTGAGAGGGGACATCTTTGCCTTGTCCTCAGTCTGGAAAGTGCCTTGTTTCTTACCATTAAATGTTAGCTACGTTTTTGGTAGATGCTACCTAGTTGAGAAAGTTGCTTTATATTCCTAGTTTGCTGAGTTTCTTGTCATGGATTGATGTTAATTTGTCAAATGCTTTTTCCACATCCATTGATATGATCATAGTGATTTTTCTTCTTTAGACTGCCAATGTGATCACATTGACATTCAAATGTTGAATAAGCCCTGCATACCTGGAATAAATCCTGCTTGGTTGTAGTGTATAATTCTTTTCATACACTGTTAGATTTAATTTGCTAATATTTTATTGAAGACTTTTGCATTTATGGTCATGAGAGACATTGGCCTGTAGTTTTCTGGTAAAGTCTTTGTCTGATTTTTGTATTAAGGTAATGCTGGCCTCACACAATGAGTTAGGAAGTCCCTCTGCTTCTATTTTCTGGAAGAGATTGTAGAAAATTGGTATGATTTCATCAGCATTTGGTAAATTCACCAGTGAACCCACCTGGGGCTGTTTTCTTTTTCTTTTTGGAAGGTAATTGATTCAATTTCTTTAACAGAAACAAACATTAAATTATCTATTTCTTCTTACGAGTTTTGGTAGATTGTGCCTACCAAGGGCCCATTTCCATTTCATCTAAATTATTAAATTTGTGGGCACACAATTGTTCATGGTAGTCTGTTATTATCTTTTAACACCTATGGGATTGGCAGTCATGGCCGCTCCTTCACTATTTTTGCTTACTGTACTTACTATACTCATTAAGACTTTTTCTTTTTGCTTACTAGACTTCTATTTTGTTATGTCACTACAGATCATTAGTTTTGGTTACTGTATAATATTCCATTGTACAAATATATCACATTTTATTCATCTAGTTCTTCAGTGGGGACTTGGGTGGTTTTATCTTTTGTAAACATTATCATGAAAATTCTTGTACATGTCCCCCGTTTAATCTATGTGCAAGTTTTTCTTGGGTATACACTTAGGGAGTGAAATTTCTGGATTATAGGGTATGTAAAAGTTCAACTTTAGAAGGCAGTATCAAACTTTCTGAAGGATTGAACTACTTTCCACTAACATCAGCAATGCATAAGAGATCATGTGGAAACCCTCTTAACACTACTAGCTATTGCCAGACTTTAAAATTCTTGTTGATCCAATGGGTATGAAACAGTATCTCATTGTGGTCTTGATTTGCATTGTAACTTCTCCCACTTTCTAACTTGTTTTTTCACATTCTTTGAAGAAAGATACCCTAAGGTATATTTTGGAAAATAAAGATAACTATTTTTAATAGAAAAAAATCATTAATAATGCTTTCATAGTTAATGCTTTATGTCTTAAGAAGTCCTACTCTATCTTAAGATCACAAGTAGTCATTTTTTTTTCCTTTGAGAGTTTTAAAGGTTTTTTAAGTCCTTTACTTTTTTCTAGGCATGAGATTGGAATCAATTTTCACCTTTTTCCATACAGATAACCAATAGTTCCAGCCCCAGCTATCCAATAGCCTACCTTCCCTGATGTAACATGCTACTTTTCTTATGCCAAAGTTCAGACCATGCATAGGTCTTTATCTGGGCAATCTAGACTATTCCATTGGGAGATGTCTGTTCCTTAGCTAGTAACATGCAATTTTAATTAACATACGGCTTCACACTGAGTCCTAACATCTGGCAGGGCAAGTCCCCACCTCTCTGATCTTTCCTAAAATGTCCTGGCCCTTTACTCTTTTACCTTTCATTTATTTTTTGAGACAAGAGTCTCATTCTCTTGCCCTGGGCTAGAGTGCCGTGGCGTCAGCCTAGCTCACAGCCTAGCTCAAACTCCTGGGCTCAAGTGATCTGCCTGCCTCAGCCTCCCGGGTAGCTGGGACTATAGGCACATGCCACCATGCTCGGCTAATTTTTTCTATTTTTAATTGTTTGGCTAATTCTTTCTATTTATAGTAGAGATGGGGGTCTCGCTCTTGCTCAGGCTGGTCTCAAACTGAGCTCGAACAATCCTCCCGCCTCTGCCTCCCAGAGTGCTAGGATTACAGGCGTCATCCACGGTGCCCGGCCTACCTTTTATTTTAGAATAACCTAAACAAGTTCCATGAAAAAGCCTGGTGGGATTTTGATTGGAATTGCATTGAATTTTTAGGTTTACTTAGGAACAAATGACATCTTCATGATATTATCTTCCTATCCACAAATGTTTCTCTTTATTGAGTTAATGTTTTAGAATTCTTCCTTTAACAGATCTTCGACATATGTTGTCAATTTCCTAGGTAATTGGTGTTCTGATACTGTTGCTAAATGGTATCTTCTGGTTCTCTAGTTAACTGGTGTAAAGAAATGCGACTGATTTCTGATAATTGTTATATCTCACTACCTAACTAAACCCTATCGTTTCTAGGAATTGCTCTCTGGATTTGCATGTGAGGTAATGTGAAAATAGCGAGTGCTTCCTCCTTTCTTCCTCTGAATGTCTAGTCCCGCTCCACCAGTCCAGTGTGGATCTCCAACACAATTATGACCATAAGCAGTAATAGTGGGCAGTCAGTCGTCCTTTGTTTCTGACTTTAAAAGGAAATGAGATTCCTCTTTGTGGCACATGCTTGGCTTTTTTGTTTGGATGGATCATTGGTTTTACACAGAAACTATCAGCTTAAGAAAATTGATTTCTAGTCCAATTTATCAAGACTTATTTTTAAAGTCATGAGTGTTAAATATTATTAAATACTTTATCTGAATCTATTAAGATAGTCATATAGTTTGCTCTTTTTAATCTGTTGTGATCAATTTAGATTTTAATATTAAATCCTTATTTAAATAGAATATATAATAAGTAAAAAATTTTTAAATTAGAATTCATACTGTAAAATACTGCCTTCATCTATCTTATATATATTGTGTTAAAAAAGGTTGACTGCCAGATAAATTTGAAACCACAGGACAGAATGGTCTCTTGAGGGTCCTATGCTCCACAATTCTCCAACTATCCTATTTGAGAATTACCCTCTCTCGACTGCTCTAACCCTACCAGAGAAGGCGGCTTCTATTAGATGTTAATTCAGTGAGCGTGCAGAAGGAGAATCAGACAAGGGCTAGAAAACACAACATGTAAGTGACAAAGAGAAGTTCTTTCTTGTCTTTGAAGATATGGTGAGGTCTTAAACTCACAGGAATATAAGATTATAACGTATCAGCATAAGATCAGTCATAAGCAGATGTGAGACAAACAATAGTAGGTATCTTACAAAAATAGGAAAGCATAAAACTAAAAGACCAAATTAACTAAAATTAACTACCAGAAAGAACAAGGGACCATTCTGGTTTTTCCTTTTTATTTAATCAAAGACTGGTGGATAAACATAAATACAGCACAATTACTTCAGATCATTCTTCATATCTTATACACACAGACTCATGAGCGTAATCTGGAAGAAACCGGCAGTCAGCAATGAAATGCATGCAGCTTTTTCTCCCCTTGCTCAAAAAAAAAAAAAAAAAAATTAAAACACACAAACTTAGAATCTCATCAGCACACATTCTCCTGTGACAAATGATTCTGACATAAATAGTGGGTGCAAAGAAACTATATGCTAACATATGAATAACCTTTGTTAATGAAAAAACAGAAGCAGCCGTAATGACTAAGATACATTCAGTTACTGATAACTAGTTGTGCCCTTCGGGGCATTATCAAAAGAGAAATCGTGCTGCAGAGAAAAGCTATATATACACACAATGAGAAAATAAACTGCAAGATTAACGCATGCATGTTTAATACTGGAAAAATCACAGCCCTCCAAAATTTCTCCATGTTTGTTATAAAAGCCCTCTGCACTCAACTAAAATTAAAATGATCTCAAAAGGATAATACTTGTAAAGTTTAAGTCTTTTCAGCCACAGAAACTGCAATGGAAATAAATGTTCAGAGTCATTTTCAAAACAAAAACAAAAATCTATTCTTCTGATGACATGCATGATTAAAAGGTCTATGCAAGATACATTGCTCTACATTCCCAATGACTAGGAAAAAAAAGTCAAGTCAATTTTTAGTTTGCAGATGGTCAAAGGATTTTGTATTCCAGCAGGAGTTCAAATCTTCTGGATCTTTTCACCAACAACTACTGGATTTTCTTTTCTGATTTTCTCAGCAGCATCAGCTTTGTAATTGTAAGAGCAATTGTGTACGTCTGAGTAACGGTGTACACCACAGTAAACATTTCCACACCGGCATTCAAACCCTGAAAATGGATTAATACACATACATGAGTTGGATGGAAAGGCGACAGATTAAAGTCTTTGGCACAATTAATGCTAAACAGCACGATCTATTTAGGACAGAAATCTAAACTAAAGAGTCATTCTAAATAAACAGTTTCACAAACTACATCCCCAAAGTTCCCTACCTGATAGCTTCATTTCTTGTTCTGACCTATAAACTGTTTGCACTAGAACAACTCTTCTCTGAGCTCAGGTTTTGCACCTGTGACATGGCCACAATTATTTCCTATCAAAAACGGTTGCTTAGACTGAAGATGCGAATCATTCTTCAAATCCCAATACTGCACTGTGAAAACTATGCCTACTATGAAAAGGTAGTCTTAAAATTTAATGAAAGATCAAATAAATCTCTGAAAGAATGTTAACAAACAACGCAGTATCCACCTTAGCTTTCCTGTGCTACCCTCCGAGGGAGATGCAAACCACCCCTCGGCTAGAGATTCGGTTGCCCAAATAGGAATCTACCTACGACGCAGGCAAATTACTCAGCCTCTCTGAGCCCCCATTTCTGCATCTGTGATGGTGGAATAATAAGTTACTGTAAGAATTAAGTGAGGAACGTACTCAATGCTTAACATGCAGTAAACACACAATAAATACTACTTTAGTGAAATGCCCAGAGTTGAAGCTGAAACAGAGACATAATGGGTGCTGAAAGTCCTTATGCAAAACTGGTCCTTGGAACTGGAGGTCATTATCTTCAGTGAAACGACTCAGACACAGGAGACGAATACTGCGTGCTCTCCGAGTGGGAGCTCAGCAACGTGTGCACGTGGAGGCAGAGTGTGGGGTGACGGCCACAGAGACTGGAGGGCGAGGGTGGGTCACAGGAGGTTGCCTGGCGCGCACACTGTGGCTGACCTCACCACACTGCAACACACCAACGAGGCAAAGCTGCGCTCCGATCCCACAGGTGCACACAAATAGAAAAACAAAAAATAAAACCGGCCCTGATCCTCAAATTAGAATACTAAGGCATGATGAAACTGTTGGAGATCGAGCATAGGAATCAGTATTTTGAACACTAACATTTGATGTTAACCTTTAGAAAGAAAATTGATTTCTAGTCCAATTTATCAAGACTTATTTTTAAAGTCATGCGTGTTAAATTTTATTAAATACTTTATCTGAATCTATTAAGATAGTCATATAGTTTACTCTCTTTTTACCACATTTTTTACGTCAGAAACATATGCTGCTAATTTCATAACAGTGAATGAAAAATGAAGCAAACACTAGGTCAGACTGACAGATGGACAAGACGGAAATAACAATTACTATATCTCAGCCTTCTAATCATGAAGTCTGACTTTTTGTGAGACTTAGAAAGACTATCTCTGACACTAAATATGTATATTTTAAATGTCTACTTCGTCCATGTCTGTGTTCTATAATTTGCCAAGGTATGGGCCACTCTGACACATCGGTGATGTCAAACTCTGACCTTTCCTCTTTGTTGCTAGCCCATCCCGCAGTGTCTGGGCAAAGCCGGCACGGCGACTGCAGCTGCTCCCACGTCACCCACAGCACAGCTGCCCTTTGAGCAGGTCAGGCGGGGCGCAGACCTGTGCCGTCAAAAATTCAGTGTGACTTTACGCCCCCAAAACTTAACTCTGAATAGCCTGATGACTAGAAGCCTTACTGATAACAGAAACAGTCAATTAGTATATAGAACACATATTCTGTATGCTAATGTATTATACACTATATACTTACAACAAGGCAAGCTAGGGACAAGAAAATGTTATTAAGAAAAACGTAAGAGAAAATGTATCTAATATTCATTGAGTGGAAGGGGATCATCAGCAAGGTCTTCCTCCTTCTCTTCATGTGGACAGGCTGAGGAAGAGGAGGAGGAGGAAGAGGAAAGGTTGGTCTTGCTGTCTCAGGGGTGGCAGAGATGCAGGAAACTTTATAAAAATACATGGTAATTTGTCTGACTTTTTTGCTTTTTCATTTCTCCAAAACTGTTTCCATATGGTGCCAATCCTTCTTCCACCATTTGCTTTAGTTTCAGTGCCCGTATCATGGAAGGGTCCACGTCATGAAAGTCGAACGCAGTCCTGAGTAACGGACCCTTCTGCCAGACTGTCTGATGAAAATCCGTCTTCTGGCACTGCTTCTTCTACATCTCCTTCCTCCCTGTCTGGCACTGGGTCGGGAGACTCCTCTCCGGCAAGCCGCCTCTGTCACTTCCCCTGCTGTGGTGTCTGTTAGCTCTTGAGTTTCTCCAAGGTCCATACCCTTCACCCCCAACCCTGTTTGCCATATCCAGGATCTCTTTCCTGATTTCCCTGGCTGGCTGTCATATAAACCCCGCAGAGTCATGCACAATCTGGACGTAGCTTTCTGCAGGAATTGCTTCAGGGTTGATGGCTTTTCCCACAACAACAATGGCATCTGCAGTCGCCCGGGGCATGTTCTCTATCGGGGCTCTCTTCCGTAGTGCTGACAGTCCTTTCCACAGGGCACCACGTGCAGTGAGCCTTAAAACCCCCTTGACCCCTGATCTAGAGGCTGAAGTGGAGACCCTGTGCCTGGGGCAACCAGGAGACTGGCGCAGGTGTGTGTCTTCCCCTCCAAGGCCCCGGGGTCAGCAGCTCTCCGGATAAGGAAAGTCCTGATCATAAACCCACCTGCATTTGAACAAAGCAGAGTTAACCTATCCTTTCCTGCCCTAAATCCTGGTGCTCGCTTCTCTTCCTAATAAATGTTCCTTGTGGCATATCTTTCCAGAAAGGACATTTTCATCTGCATGAAAAACCTGGTCAGGAACATATCTTTTCTCCTCAATGATTTCCCTAATGGCATCGGGAACTTGTCTGCTGCCTCTTGTCAGCAGAAGCTGTTTCTCCTGTGATCTTGACATTTTTTAAATCCAATCTCTTTTTAAAATTATCAAACCATCCTTTGCAGGCATTAAATTCTCCACTTTTAGAGCCGTCACCTTCTTTTTGCTTTAAGTTGTCATATAATGAATCTGCTGTTTCTCAAATCTAGAGCAGAGGTGAGCCCTTTCTGATGGCAAGCCTGCGGCCACATAGGAGCTGCACTTCCAATCAGAGATAAAAAGATAATTCGTAAGAAATGCGAGGTTTCCACGCCTGCTGACGCAGCTGTAACGATGGCTCCACAAACTTCCTTTTCTTTTTTTGCGGTGGTTCTTACGCCGTATTCGTTTATTTTGAAATGGTGGGCAGCTACAGACCTCACTCAAACAATTCAACTTTTTCTCATAATGTCCTGACTTCCCTCTGCTTTCTGGAACACTTATGGATGGCATCATTCGTGCCACTTCAAAGGGGTTCCACGGTGTTAACTCAAGGCTTATGGTACTGCGCTACACACAGCCAAACAAAACACACGAGCACTGCCGAGAGAGCACTTTTTACTACGATAATGCGATTTACTGGACAGCGAGCTGCTTCCTCAGAGATGACTGTCACACGGCATTTAAGTGGAAACTCCAACACGGGAGCTCACCACAAAGCACCAGGACACAGTATGTGCTACAGTGAATCTCATGCAGTTATGATTTTATACATCCTTACATTTACTAACTGCGAATGGCTCCACGTACAGTCTGCAGGTCATAAGTTTTGATAAATTTTAACTTATATACCAGATGTGTGTATATTTTATGGTAGTAAATGATAAAACAGACTAATATCTACATATATTTTATGCATTCATGACATAATTAACTTTTTCTTAATTTTTCTTTTATCTCTAGGCTATGTGGTTCACCTTTGAGTTTTTAAAAATTACTGAAAATCTCCAAAAATTACTGAAAATTTCCAATATATTACTGAGAAAAATGCACATGTAAGCGGACCTGAGCAGTTCAGATCCAGGCTGTTCCAGGGTCAGCATGTCTTTGGCTGCATCCCAGCACTCCCGTCTGGCTGTGGCGTGTGGCGCCCCCTTCTCCACACACACTCTGTGCTGTGCTGCAACCCCTAATCCACGGCCCCTGACGCGCTGTGCTCTTGTCTCTGACTGTGGCTCAGACGTCAGTGCTCCTCTTTGTGCAAGGCCCAGCTGAAACGCTGTCTTCATGATCCTTTCCCTGCTGCATCTCTGAGAACTCCCTTTTTTTTTTTTTTTGAGACACAGTCTTGCTCTGTCTCCCAGGCTAGAATGCATGGTATCCACCAGAGCTCACAGCAATCTCAGACTCCTGGGCTCAAGCGATCCTCCTGCCTCAACTTCCTGGGTAGCTGGGACTACAGGCGTGCGCCACCATGCCCAGCTAATTTTTTCTAGATATTTTTAGTTGGCCAATTAATTTCTTTCTATTTATAGTAGAGACGGGGTCTCGCTCTTGCTCAGGCTGGTTTCGAACTCCTGACCTGGAGCAATCCGCCCGCCTCGGCCTCCCAGAGTGCTAGAGAATTCCCATTCTTTTATGTAAATTAGTTACTCCCATCCCTGAATTCCCAAGCAATCTCACTGCACTTACTGTACTTTGCTTGCTAAATACTTAGGATCACTTTTCTCTGTCTCTCCGAGTAACAACAGCCTCGACAGCTCTGTCACAGTAGCCAGCATGCGTCGATTTTTGCTGTGCAGCAGTACCGGCTAGCGTGTCTTCATTCACTGAACACACGCGCTGCCTGCGACCCGCCCGCTTACATGCAGGAAGTGCTGCACGGCGCCCGCAGCCGCGTCCTTGCCTTTCCACAGCCCCTGGCACACTGACTTCGCTTGTCCAACACTCTCAAATTCAGGTGAAATAAATTTTTAAAAGAAAAGCTACTCATTTCACTTTTAGGCATATAATTAAAGCTGTTTTTATTTCTTTAAGAAGATTCAGAAGCTGAAGTGTATCCAACATTAACTCTCATGGGAAATGAAACAATCTTAGTTGAAGTCAGTAACAGGTAAGCCATACATTACTTTAAAATATAATCTTAATTTGAACCACCTGATTTAGGCCCTTACCAGTAAGTCCCACTTTCTTCCTGCACATGAAACAGCGATTCTTTTTTTGTTTTGGTTTTTCAAGAGACTTGCTTTGCTCTTCAGATGGCTGCTGTGCCGTGTCTGATACTGAAGCTGACAAAAATAGGAAGGTGATAAAATAAAATTTAATTATTCAGTAAGATTTTCCTACTTGGGTGGTTGCTGTCCCTCATGCCACCCCCATGGATCTGTCATTCAGAGGATAACAGAGGAACATATCTATTGATTAGCATGAGAAGTGGTTCATACTCAGTTACAAAGTTGTTTATAAAATATAATGTCCCTTTCGTTGAATGTGTGTGTGTGTATGTGTGTATATATATATATATATATACACATACACACACATGCAGAAAATGATCTAGAATAATCTGACACATTAACAGTGACTCTAGAAAGTGGATTATAGATTTTCTTTTTTTTTGGTTTAAGGTATATTTTCTAATTTTTTTAGTAATTATATATTTGACCAATAAAAGGCACATACAAAAATACTTGGGCATTCTACGGGACTGTGTAAGACAACAGCCACATGCAAGCTCCTTAATATTGTCTGGGGTCAGAACTATTCCAATTTCTCAGAGAACAAGGGAATAAAAGGTAAAAACAAGATTCTGTGGAATACTAAGCATTGTATATTTCACACAAAAACATTTAAAACATTAGAAATAAGATAAATTGATGCAAAGAAGCTTTAAAATGTTGTAATTAAGATAATAAATTAATGCTTTTATGTACTGAAACCAAGGCCAGATGTACCAAGATTCAGGTGAAATTACTATTCCTATACCCTAACTAATGTGCTTACCACCCCCTTCCTATTCCTCACCAGCCTGGCCCTTCTCAATGCTGCCACTGGAGTCAGAGTCCGTAATCTGACCTGACACAGTCGGTATCTTGCTTCGTAACGGTTAGTGACTTGCTATGGGTCAAATTATTAACCTCTCTGATTTTATCACCCAGGAATCCAATGTTCCACCAATCTATACTGGGAATACGCCACTCACCTCTGCTCACACTCCCACTTCTCACTACCTATTGCAAAGGACTTCCTTTTCTCCCTCATCATCTAGATCCTTTTCTTTTTTTAAGGCCAAGATGCTCATTTCAATTCTCTGCAGCTTCTCACTCTAGTTACCCTTGCCCGATGCTGGGGTCCCCACAGGAGCCCCCTCTGCAATCCATGCTCCACACACTGCATATAATCGTCTGCCTTAAGTGAAAATCGCATGATGTTCTCCCTGATGTTTACGATTCTTTGATGGCTCCCCACCAACCTCCCCAGGATAAAGCCAGAGGTCTTTCGTGATTTTCTTCATGTTTTTCTCTAGCTTCATCTCGGACCATTCCTCAGTGCTACTGCATGCTTCAGCCATACTGAAGTACCTGTCGTTTCTCTGGACTTACCCAACTCCCACCTCTGCGCTCTTGAGCAATACTCATTCCACGTCCCTCTTGTCCTCTCTTCACCTGGCTAACTCTAATTTGTCTTTCTTGTTTAAACTTATATAATCAACTCTTACTACACTGCCTGGGACTGGGAAACCCTACTAGGTGCTCCATGGCACTTTTCACATTATTATACTTGCCTGTTTGACTTAACCTGTTTAACTGAACTCTCCGAGGGCAGGAACCTGTCTTACTCATTTGCATTAGCAGGCCTGCCCCAGTGCCTACTACCACGTAGCAGCCACTCAACAAACAAATACCTGCTGACTAAATTACTGAGTTACTCACCTACTGTGTGTACGTGCCCCTTTCCCCAGCTACACTGTCAGCCTGCTGAGGACACGGATGGTATCTTACTCCGTTCCAATCTCCAGCGCCTCGCACAGTGCCGCACACAGAGGAGACACTCAAACATTTGCTGTCACGGATTCTAACCTACTCATGTTAACACGTTATCTCATGTTTTGACAAGATATGACAAAAGGTAAAACACCACACACTAACAAGTAAATACGCACTAATGAAGAACTCTATAGCATGATTTCTTCACCTAGACATGCTGAAGCTAGACAGGAGACAGTTCTAGTAATATACTGTGAACATTTTATTTTGAATATAGACCATAAAACCTTTTATTTTCAATAAATAAATATTCCTAGAATGTAAGCTCCATCAAGTCAGGGGCTGAATGTCTTGTTTACTATTTTATCCCCAGCTCCTAGAACAGTATTAAATAAGGTTTGACTATGTGTCCATAGCTTAAAAATAGTTTAGCTTGTAATCAGAAATAAAACTAGTACATTTATTATCTTTAAAATCTATAAGCCATACTATCTGACCTATTCTCCAAAAGCAGTCTGATATTAAAGTAAACTAATATATATAATCCTATGATGGCAGTAACACTATTACAATATTTATTTTTAAACGAACTGGTTTAACTACTGAGACAAACTTTGAATGGGATCTGGAAATATAGAAGAGTGAAAATGCATTTACCTGATTTGCACACAAATTCTATTGCATACCTCAACAAAGACATTTCACAATTTTAACCCTAAAGACCTAAGGCAAATGGTTTCCATTTAACTAAGGCAAATGTGCAATTTTAAAGTTAAGGATCAGTAGGCTATCTAAAAGCTTATAAGCTAGGGCTCAAATGTGGGATCAATGAACATCAATTACGTACCCACGAGACGAGGGTAGCCCCAGCTTACCTGAAACTAGTGGCTGACATCCCTGAACTTAACAGTCGACAAATGAATTCATGGGCAAAATGACAGACTTTGTAAAAGTCTATGATTTCCCAAAAGTACATTTCCTCAGTTTACATGTAGTCTTAAGGCCAAAGAACACCTCACCTCTTTGAGGCCAAAGAACACCTCACAAGGCCAACACCTTTGGCCTTGTTCTTAAGGCCAAAGAACACCTCAACTGAGGAAAAGTACCATTTCCTCAGTTTACATGTAGTCTTAAGGCCAAAGAACACCTCAAGTTTTATTAACTTAACACCTAAGTTAATAAAATTTAGTTCATTTTATTAACTAAAATAATTTAACTAATTATTTTAGTTAAAGCAATTCAATCTTTAAAAGGGCCATACAATGACTAAAATGCCAAAGGACCATAATCTTATTGAACCTAAAGCCAAAATAAGGACAGTTTCCTCAGAACTAGGTGGGTGTTCGTATTCTGAAATGAGAACTAGAATGGAGATGCCTGCTTGTTAATGATTAGTAGGTGAGTGCCTTTGTTGTATCCACCAGTCCCGCAGGTCTATCTGGGAGGCCAATGGGATGGCATGAAGGCCATGAAATCAACTGTATGTACAGCACCTGCTGAACCGATTTTTAGTGGGCATTCCAAATACACAAAGTCTACTGGCCAGTACTATTAAGATACTTGACAAAGCACCAGGCAGGTAAAATTAGTTTAACTACCCACATGGAGGATCACATTCAAGAGGAATAAGGCCCTCTGCTCTGGGTCCTGTAAAAAACAAAAAAGAAAAAGAAAAAGTGCACAAATATAACAATAAGTACATAAAACCATTTAGTACCACCTCTTTTGGGGGCACATTCATGCATATGGTAAAAAATAAAATTGAACATCACATTAATAGGTAGCCCCCAAACATTATCTTTATATATCTAATTGGTCTTGGCAGTAGATACAGTATCTATGTAATTAACATGTATCCTTTCCTCCAAAGTCACGACAAATCTCATTCTCGAATGGGCCCGCATGTCAGGCTGGTGACGGTTCTGCTCCACTGTACACCCGGTGCCAACACAAACCAAGGGACCAACAGATACTTACTGAATGGAATGTGTAACGTTTACAATGAACCACTGGGATAGAATTCATTTCCCCTCTCTGGCCCTTATTTTCTTGTGTGCAAAATAAATGCTTGAACCAAATGAACTTTAAGCTGCTCCTAGCTCAAGAATTCTTTACAAAATGAGAAAATTTTAAATAGTTAAAAGAAAAAAATATGCCTGTATTAGTATTAAGCATCCAAAATAAATTAGTCATATAATTTTATACTTTTTAGTAGACACATTAGAAACAGGTAAAATTTTAATATATTATTTCAAAATGTAATCAATATAAAAAGTTTTAATTAAATATTTTACATTTTGGGTGTATTAAGTCTTTAAAACCCAGTGTATATACATTATACTTAAAGTGTAACTAGCATAACATGTACTAAAAATCTCATTTTGGATTAGGTACATTTAAACAGCTCAATAGTTACATGAGGCTAGTGGCCACCACACTGAACAGAACAGCTCTACAGAAGAGATCAGTTTCTGTAGCATTTATCTGTGAGTGAAAATCTGTTAATTAATCTTCCCAAAACACTCTCCCTCTGTCATCCAGGCTGGAGGACAGGGGTGCAATCATAGTCACCAACTGTAGCCTCCAACTACTGGGCTTAAGTGATCCTCCTGCCTCAGCCTCCTGAAGTGCTGGGATTATGGGTGTGAGCCACCACACATGGCAACCAAAACACAGCTTTGTGTCATCTTAGAAAAGCAAACCAAAACAACAAACAAACAAACAAAAAAACCATTCAAAATGACTCCCTTCCCTTCACACTCATTAGAACCAAAGACCTTAGTGATTTTCCATTATCTGGTTCCAAACCACCTTTCCAGCTTTAATTCCAACATACATTTGTCTGAATGGGCCATTTCAGCAACTGGTCATCTCACTATTTCCTAAATTTCATGTTTTTCTACCTGTATGTTTTTGTTCTCACAATTTCTCCTCCAGCAAAAGCCCTCTTCAACGGTCTTTAGGAGTAGTGTGTGTGTGTGTGGGGGGGGGATATAATTTACATATAATATTCACACTTTAAAGTATATAATTCAATGGTTTTAATATATTTACAAAGTTGTGACATCTCACCACTATCCAATTCCAGAACATTTCAGTCACTCCAAAAAAAAACCCCAAACCCATTAGCAATCACTCCCTACTTCCCACTTTGCCCAGCTCCTGGCGACCACTAATCTTCCTGCACGTGTGTCCTCCCGTGGACACTGCGTAGGGATGGACTCATACAGCAAGTGGCCTTCTGTGCCTAGCTTCTTTTATTTAGCATGTTTTCAAGGTACATTCATGCCGTGGTATCAGAATTTCCTTCCTGTGGCTGAATAATATTCTAGTGTATGGATACTGCATTTTGTTTATCCAATCATATGCTGTTGGCCAACTGGGTTTTTTTCAATTTTTTGTTTTTATAAATAATGCTGCTATATAAACATTTGTGTACAAGGTTTTGTGTGGACACCTGTTTTCAATTTTCTTGGGAATTAGAAGTAAAATGCTGGATCATATAGTAATTTTGTTTAGTTTTATAAGCAACTGCCAGACTGTTTTCCAAAGCATACCATTTTACATCCCCACCAACACCATACGAGGCTTCTCCGCATCCCTGACAACTTGCTACTGTTACTGATTCTAGCAATCCTAGGGGGTGTGAAGTAGTGTCTCATAGTTTTGATTTCCATTTTCCTAACGACACTGAGCATCTTTTCATGTGCCAATTATTGGCAACCTGTATAGCTTTTCTGGAGAAATGTCTATTCGAATCCTTCGCCTATTTTTTAATTGGCTGTCTTTTTATTGTTGAATTATAATTATCCATGTTTTCTTATCAGATACATGATATGAAAATATTTTTTCCCATTCTCTGGGCTGTTTTTCCACTAATGCCCTTTGAAGCAAAAAACTTTTAAATTTTGATATAGTTCAATTTACCTATTTTTTCTTTGGTTGCTTGTGCTTTAGGTGTCATATCTAAAAAACAACTACCTAAACCAAGGCTACAAAAATTTACACTTGTTTTTTTTGGTCTTTGATGTATTTTGAGTGAATTTTTTGCATATGGTATGAGGTGGAGAGGTACAATTCATTCTTTTCAGTTTGCAAATCTCATTTTACCTCCATTTTATCAGTAACTTTTAATGCCCTGTAAAGGGGACATGCTTATCATTCTCCTTTAAAAGTAATACAAATAAGACTCAGAGTGGTTAGTGGCGCTGTCAACATATGAAAACAGAAACTATGAATCCAAATTCCACATTTTTTTTACTATGACCCAAGATATGAGTGACTGAGACAGATTAACCAAATTTAAGCATATTATTCAAAAAAGGCAGCCAAATATGATAGTTTTAGAGTATACCAAAATGCTTAAGTCTGTTTATAAAAGCTAGCCTTTGTGAATTAGAAATCTGACTTACATTCCTAAGTGACACTATGTGAGGTACTATTTTTTTAAATTAAAAATCATAATTAAATGAGAAACATGCTGCAATATGCCAAATTCTCAGTTAAACATAAAAATTCTTCAGAGCGATGAGGCCAAAATGAAAGCAGTACCACCCACCTGGTGGCAGCATATCCTAATTATAGGCAGAATACCTGCAGAGAAAAAAGCTGTTCTGAAAACTCCAATAAAAAATGTTAGGAAATTCTGGCTGAGTCACACAGGCACTACTCATATACCCTCCTCCACCTGGGAAGGTCTTCCATCTGGGAAGGTCTTCCTACCTACATAAACGTCCTCTGAGGGAGGCAAACGACTGGCAGGAAGAAAACAGATACCTGTGTAGCTTGCCAACCCAGCTGGCCCTACTCTGGGAACCGCAGGGGACTGGATGTGCCAACAGAACGTACGTATCCACAACCCAGTCCAATAAGCAGCACAACTGCCCGTGGAAAGACGACGAGTCTAGAGTCGGGTTCCGGGACTCTAGTTCTAGCTCATACGACCATATGATTGAATCAAAGAGACTTTTTCTCTGTCTTCATCCATTATTAAAATAGATGAAAAAATTTTCTCTGTATTTGTCCTACTGAACAAGGAAATCATCGTAAGAGTGTGTCTGTATACAGTATATATCTATCTATATGTACACAAACATTTATATTTGTGTATTGCTTATATTAAGAGGTATCTTTAATTCAACAACATAAAACATTTTTTAAAGCTAGGCTATTAAAAAAGATTTTACGCTGAAAACTAATCCTCTCTTAAACTCAGATGAAACTTATACCTAATTTATCAAAGATTCTGCTATGCTGAAATTATAAACACTAAGCTTTTTTAAAGGGTACTTAAAAGTTAATACTGGTTTAACCTGAAAGTCAGTCAAATTAGTCAGTCTAAGTTTTAAAACCCTCTACAATTTTTCCTAAGATGATATCATGAGTGCAGTTTGAATTAATGTACTGAGGCTAGGTGGAGAAAACTACGCTTTTCTCCACACACCATGAGCAGTATAAAAGCACTTCCTGTGATGACAGCTCACTAACCTACAATCTCTATTCTTCGTCAAACCTGAACAATTGCTATTGTATCCTTAAGCCTTATACATTTTTTTCACTACCAACATTCTAAAATTTGTTCTATCATAAAAGATAAATAACATTTTCATGATTAACAGCCTGTTTTCTTCCTAACTTCTTTCTCTCTCAAAACTGATACACAACCCTTGCCTCCTGAAATTCTCCTTTGGCATCTATGGTCTGAAACCAGCCAGGATCCAGGTAGCTTCTGTCTCTGCTCCTTTGCTGGCTCATCCTCTTGCCTGCTTCCTTGTTTTTAAACTCTCATTTTTCAACCTACGCTGGCTGAGATTCTAACTCTCAGGTATAATACTGATCACTCTACACATTACATGGCTACTATCCATCTACAACCTCCAAATGAGCTCTTTCAGTTCTGAAAGTTGATAACCTCCAACTAACTAATTGCATCTAAAATTTTGTCTAATCACATTACCTTTTCTAGCCTCCTTGTCTAAGGTGACCACACCTTTGCCACTATCATAAAATTGGAAGCTCTGATACCGCCCTGTCTCCTTATTTCCCATGTCCAGTGATAACTGAGTCTTGGAGTTCTTTTCTTTTTTCTGCTTTTAAAATATCCATCATCTCTGCCCTTCCTTAAATTTTTCTATTTAACTAAAAAATATTTTTTCACTTAAAATATTTATGAATTTATAATAATATATGCTAGGTGGAGTAGAATATTTATGTTGACCACATAGTAATCTTTTGCTACAGCAAAATCTACACAAATAGGCAAATTATGTCAAGTATTAGTTGGGCATGAAATCAAAGCCGGGTAATTAGCTTATCTAAATTTAAATTTAGCAACTAAAACCAAGACTGCCAGATCTGTCACCATAATGTGAGCACCATGCACGATGGAAAGTGTCACTGGTCAGACAGAACTGCACCTGCTCATCCCTGGGCTTGTCTTTCCAGACTATCTTCCTCGGTTAACACTGTTTCCACACATGCTAGAATGTAACTAATTAAGCACGTATTATTTCATGGCCTCCTCTGCACTGTCTTCCCCACTAGGAAAGCCTTCATACAAACACAAAAGTCCTCCTGCATCGTTTTGCTCCAAATGATGCGGACAGGAAAAGCACCAGCACGTGCAAGGACATGAGACACTGGGAAGTGGACACGAGGAGCAACTGCAAGTGGCTACTGCACTGTCAATCGCAGGTGGGGAAGGCGGGGTGACTGCCAGCCAAGTTGTACACAGTATCTCAAATAATTTGAGTCAAAAAACAAGAGAAACAGATACCCCTCAAACCAGCAGATCCTGTTTGCTTGGAGAGTAAATAGTTTTTAGATTAAACTGATCAAAATAGTAAGAGAATACTGCCACATGTTCATCTAATTATATTATTCAAGCTAAACAAAATTTTTGATTTTTAGATGTTTATGCTGATGAAATAATTACTTGTGATAAATGGCTCCCAACATTTCAGAAAATTAAATACTTGAGGATATAAACTATTATGTTCATAAAGAAAATGAGTAGAAAAATATGTACTTTAGGTAGGCAATTTTTTTTAGGTAGGCAACTTTTTACACATGTGCCTAGGATAATGTCTGGCCTACAACACTGACATGTTATATAATGACAAAACACATGCGAGTTCATGTGCAAACCTTGCAGATCTTCTGTTTCAGGTACTGCTTTGTCCACAGATGTACTGTCCACTTGGGAAGATGCTACAGATTCTGATAAAAGTGACTGATTTGATACAGGGCTAGAAAGGCAAAAATATTTCATTTTAAAAGATGATCTTCACACATGAATATTAACTAAAGTGATATAGTAAGAGTTTAACATATCTAAGTAGATCATTATGGTAAGAGCACCAATATACTTTTTTATAACTTAAACATAACCACAGAGCTTTGAAACTAGAAACCAATTTGGATGAGAATTTTATAGCCTTAGAAATAAAGCAATAGCATATATCCTTTGTGTATTTCAAGTACCAGATGAATTCACTAAACGAAAACTAGCATGATAAAGGTGTGCTTAAGGAACCCTAACGCAAAGCTGCAAATGATATCTGTGCGAAGAGGACTGCACATCTCCTGTTATGATCTGGAAAAAAGGAACCATAGTATAGAAACTTAATATATTGGTTCCTGACAGCAGAATAAAAATGAAACACGTATTTCTGTATGCAGGCTTCTAAATGGTGTGATTTCAGAGTTAAAAAGAAAAATATATTATGATACAAATAAAAATGAATACTGCATCATGATATTAAACAAAGAGAACCTGTGACAAGATTGTTTTTTCTAATACAAGACAATACTTGCAAAATAAAACTAAATTTAAAGAACTTAACATGCTTCAAAAGGACTTCAGGGATGGGTCAGGATATACTATGAGAAAGAAAAACAGAAAAAGATAACTGAAAAGGTAATCTAAAGACTTAAAACAAAACCCCTACCCCATAATGTAATAATAAGAAAAAGCTTTTTCTAACTAGTTAGTAATCAGACAGATACAATTTAAGGCCAGTTAACCCTAAAGTGGCTTGACACAGTTTTCCTTAACAGAATAGATCAAAACCAGAACGCACTCTTCCCTTTCCTCAGCAGTGCGGCTGCAGTCCAGAGACTGCGTCTCACCTTGGCTGCGTAGATGAAGGCGTGGCGTCTGGCGCTGACCGGGCTTCTGGGACACTGCCATCTGTGCACTGAGCCGGCAGAGGCTCGGACAGACTACTGACAGAGGTTGCTGTAACAGTACCACATTTCACATTAGTGATGCTATGCCCAGGGCAGTCTAGGGCCTTATCTAAAAAGAAAAATCAAGGTCAATTTTCCACACAATATAGTATATGAATTTTGTTTTACTATGTAATATGTCGATTATTTTTAGTTAAAAAATTTTTAATAGCTTACAAACAAAAAATATGTAAATTTTAACCAAAAAGGAAATCATTACAAGTTATTTACGTTAATAAACTAAATTCCTATTTCTCAGGACCAAATGTCACCCAAACCCAAATCCTTTAATTCAAACACATCTTCCAAGTGCTAGTATACAAATGAGAGATTTAAAATATAAGATAATTTAGCAGTAAGGCAGACATTCTAAACCTTAGAATTAAACTTGGGCTTGGCACATTATGTTATATTATTTTCCCTGTACTTCATAAAGCAGAAATGTAGATGATGACTTAATTTAAAAACAATAATTTATATTTATTAGATCTTAGCCTTAAGAAAATTTGGACAAGTTTCTAGTAAATGCTTGTAGTTTTTGGCTTGAAACAATGATAAGAAAGACCTCATACAAAATTTTAAATGAACTAAGTCACAGCCTGAGTCTTCATTAAGCACAAAAATCTATGACATTTTAGGCACTAACCTACATGAGAACTATTCTATATAAATACTTCTGACACTTCCCTTATGCAGAGCTTATATTCAGAATTTCCTCAGTTCCAGGAAAACCCTTTGCACAACAAAAAGGCATGAAAAACCCAAGTGAACTGAGGTTGAATATCCCTTACTCTGAGTAAATCCATTACGCCCTCCTGCTGAAGGCAGGCTTTCTCTAAAGTCAGTTGTAGTTACTGATGATCTGCTCTTTTCTTCAATAACTAACTTAGCTGCAAAAGTCACCCAGATCAAAGAACCAAGGTTCTTTTGTAGGCTTCACTCCCTTCACCGTACTTTCTAAGACAGCTACATAGACATCACGTGTCTCTCTATTTAAAAATAGTACTAGAGTTCTGTAGCACAGCAAATACGACTACAAAATGGATTTACAGTATTTTCAATGAGCGATGATACTCTTATTCCTGAGTCCCCTCCATTGACCATATCACAGTGTGTAATGAAGAATTTTACTGACAGAAATGTGGTAATGCAAGTACAATGTGAGAGCAGGAAAAGGCACTGGGGTACGACAAACTACCTAAGACCTAAGTGTATTTCAATTATGAATACTGTTTTAGCAGAATTACTCACCAGGTGGGCTTATTCTACCATTACTACTATTCTGTCTTTGAAGATGTTCTTTATAGCACACTGAACACATGCCATTTGTACGAGGGTTTCCATAAAATCCGCAGCCAGTGGAACAAAGCATAGGCACTTGGCTGTGATTAGTTTCTTGAGCCATGTTCCTCTGCTGCACACCTGAAATTTACATAGAATTAGCAAAGAACTCAAGACACAAAACTCCCACCATACATTATCCAATAAAGGAAAACATCCACATATATTACCCCTCAAACCACTCTCTATAACTGTCCCCCGACCTGGGGCTAAAGATAAAGAGAAAAAATAAAGACCAAAAGGATACACACTGAACTTTTCTCTCCACCTCACTCTACACAAGCAGGTCTGCACAGGCTCAGAAAGAAAGTACAAAGAATTCCTAAAGGAAGGTATCACCAGAAGGTTAAGGAAAATCCCTTACATCTAGTTCAGTGTGGCCCCTCCTAGTAATAAGAAATATAAATTATGAGTTTTGCTATATAACTCTTTAATTTCTATGTATTTAAACTTTTCCTGGAAGTTCATATGCTAACTTCTACACAGCAAATTTATAATGATAAATTGAAAATAACCTAAATGTCTAACATTAGAGAATGGATTTTTAAAAAAGTATTATACATATTAATGACAGAAGTTATGCAGTCACTGAAAATATAGAATACTTAAAAACCCAGGTGACCCTGGTTAGAATACTTTTGCTGGGGGAAAATGCTGATAATGAATGAAAAGGCACAATATGAAATGTACATAAAATATGTTGCCAATTAGGAGGAAAAGGAGCATCTATTAATCATCAAAAAAGTTAGTAAAGAACATGTGCAAGGATGGAAAAGCTAGTGATTCTTTTTCTTGATTTGTACCTTTTCTGTCCTTTTAAAATTCTCTAAAATGAACACACCACTTGCCTAATTGGGGGAAAACTGATTTATTTTTAAGTATTTAAAAACAAAAGCTAAAATTAAAAACAGGACAGAGGCATTAGTCAGCCACGGAAGTGATGCTGGGACTAAGGAACTGTTTGGGAACCACATTAATAATCAATTACAGCAGATGGAAGAACCTCATGTGTCAATTTCTCCCATAAAGCAACTGGTTCTTTGGCATAAATAACATGACAGAAGGCACTAACAGGCTCTCTCTCTTATTAAAAAGCAACTTCCTAAATGAAGGTTGACTCCAAAATGTGTGTATGTGTATTACAGATGAATCTATGTTCAAAGATCATGAAGAGTGAGACTAACCAAAGAAGGAAAATGTTTTGCCACAGAAATTCCCTGGAATTGACAAACACCTAAGGAAAGCAGTCACGGCTCACTATTATCAGATTTCTCTTTGCCTAAATTATTTGAAGACTGTTGAGGGGTGGGAAGAATTTAATGCAAATTTCACAATCAAGAGCAGTAGTAATGCAATTGAGTGCAACAAAGCAGCAGGCTTTTTGTTTGCTTTTAAATAGAAATGTCCTAAAACTGTAGGAATATTTAGACCTTTAGCCTAGGAATACAGTTTCCCTGGGATTTTGACAAGCATCTTCCTTACTCCATGATGACAAGTCATTTCAGAATCCAGATCCCTCCCTCTTCTGTAGTGCTGTAAATATACATATTTAAAAAAATAACGATGGTATAGAAAAGCTCATGGCAAATATCTTTGTTTATTTTTTTCTTGCCTATGTTCATGAGGGATACTGATCTGTAGCTTCTGTTTTTAAATGTCTGTCTGGTTTTGGTATTAGGGTAATTCAAGGTCATGTAGCTAATTAATAAGTGACAGAGCTGGGATTCAATCGAGGTAGACTGGCTTCACCAAAGTCCACACTCTGAATTAAATCACTGGTCCTCAAAGTATGGTCCACTGACCCCTATGAACGTCAAAGCTGTTTTCAGAGTAACACTAAAAAGTGACTTGCCTTTCTCACTGTCACGGACACAAGCACTAGCGGTGCAAACGACAACGGTGGAAAAACAGCTGAAGCCTTATCAAGGAGTCAGATCAAGGCAGTGGCACTAAACTGCAGTTAGCAGGGTACTCTTCAATGTCATGCTCTCATAGTAAAAATTATTAATTTTATTAAATCTTGACCCTGAACACAAGTCTTGTTAATATTTTGCACGACAAACTGGGAGGCAGGCATGAAGCACTCTTGCTGCACAAAGTAGGATGGCTGTCTAATGAAAAAGCATCTGAGCAACCGTTCAAGCTATGAGCTGACCAAGTCACCTTTTTAATGGGACATGGTTTTTATTTGAAAGCATGACAAACTGATTATACCGACCTGAGTATATGGCAGACGTTTTCTTATAAATAAATGAAGTACATTTGTTACTTCAAACAATTAACAGTATTCATTATCAAAGACAACATTCAAGCAAGCATTCAAGTGAAAAAATGCTTAACAAGCATCTCTAATATTTTGAGTTTTCTGGTAAGATCAGTGGTGATATTAATGAACTGTGATTAAAAAATACTGTATCAACATTTCAAGGCTCTTCAAAAGACAGTGAGTGAACCAGTATTTTCCAAGTGACCAATGTATGATGGTACAAAATTATTCATGAACAAAAGACCCATTCAAAGTAGAAGAGAGACCAATGAATTTTAATGTAACAGGACAAAAGGTTTTTACATGGTTTCAGATTCCATGTCAAAACCATCCTTTAAGAAACTGTCAAGTTTTGGTGTATTATCAAAGAACAACCCCTATTATCGGAAAAGGTTATTAAAATGTTCTTTCCTTTTCCAGCTACATATTAGCCCAGATTTTCTTTATAATGCTGTAACAGACTGAATGCACAAGCAACTATGAGAATCTTGCTATTAAGCCAGACCTTAAAAAAGATTTGCAAAATGTGTTAACAATGTTACTCTTCTCAGAAAAGAATGCAGGGAAGGGGGAAATAATTATTTTTCATAAAATATTCTAAAATCAGTATTTAAAATTTTTCTCAGCTTTAATCTGCAATATGATAAACACCACTAGCTGTAACACTCATAAACAAAAGTTCCTCACGGCATTCAATAGTTTTAGAGAACGTAAAGGGTCTGAAACCCAAAACTCTGAGAGCCCACTGCTATAGACTATGCATTCTCAGCACAGGCAGTGGCGCCTCAAGGGGCAAACGCTGATTCTTGGGGAAAATGGGGCACAAAAACCCTTACTCTTTATGTATAAAATGCATCTGTACATACAATACATAAACAGACATATAGTATGTGTGTGGAGGTGAAATTTATAAAGGTGGGGGCCAATCTGTAACTCAAGAGGCATAAAGGAGTTCATGGATTACTTAAAAAAAAAAGAAAAAGAATCAACCTTACTTATTCATCTTTAGGCCACAAAATGTACCTTTACATGAAGATTCAGGAAGACGAAAAACCATGAAAGGGTGAAGTAGTTTATCTGAATGTCTAATGGCATCGATGGGGCAGCTATGGCGACACTGAAGGGCTGCCGCCCCTTGCCACACTGCAGGGCACACCAGATGGCATTCACATGACCAGGGAGGAAAGGGTCAGAGAAGAGAAATGAGAAGACAGAACAATCCCTTCATTGCTGCACTGTCGCATTCATTACAAAGCCACAAATCCAAGGACACAGAAAGCAAGATTACCCTACCCCTCCTAAGAAAATCACTAGCATGGTAAAATAAACGAGTCTATGAATTAGAGAAGATTCATAAAATGTGAGTTCTGACTCTTCCTAACATTCATAAGCAAAACTATAAACCATTACTCCCCTCAAGCCCCCTAGACAATACTTACCACTTATTAAGAGTTTATTATGGGCAAGGAGTGGCTTTTATTGTTTTATTTATATCTCAATTAATCCTCCCAAGAACCCTATGATGTTGGTGCTACTGACATCCCATTTTTAAAATTAAAAAATGAGACTTAAAAAGACTTAGTAACTTCCCCAAGGCCACAAATCTAGTAAGCAGCTAAATCAGAGCCTTTTGATAACTCTAAAAAATAAAAAAAAACTGACTTTCAAAGTCCATCATATCTCTATGAAACTAAAATTTTGTGAACATTCATGAATTCTTACTACTTTCATTTAAGGAAGAATTTTAAATTTAATTCATTTGCTCAATCTTAAGATAGTATGCTGCTTTAATTAACTGTAACCATGCTCCCGAAAAAACTTGTTTTTCATTTGTGTCTTTTTACCTAAGAAGTTCTTACCAGCACAAAAAATTCAAGATTAAATATTTTATGACTACAAAGAAAATTCATTACCAATTATTAAAACTCTGACAAAAGAACTGTAATGAATGAATGTCACACAGACTCAATTACAACAACAAATACATATCAATTAAACTTATTTTCCTTTGCTTTACTCCCTAGAGTTAAGTCACCAAGTTCTAATACTTTTCATTTTGAAATGTCTAATGCTCTTTTATTTCCCATTCCAATCATGGTCCTCATCACTTCACACCTGGGTTATTTTAACAACTTTCCCTTTTTGTTTTACTGCCTTTCATCCCAATCCATTTATCTAAATTCTCCTAAAACATCCTATTCTCCTTATATTACTTCTGCTTTAGTTATTATACAGTAATTGCACCATAGAGGAGTACTCAAGCTAGCACTCATGCTTTACATAGTTTACCCTAGCCAGCATTTCCCTAGAAAGCAGGCTGTGTGTAAACAGAATAAGCTTGGAGTCAGGTCGGCAGCAGTCTGAATCCCAACTTTGCCATTTTATTGCCTGTAAGAGCTTGGACATGTTATGAAACTTCCCTAGCCTCAGGTCTCCAAGAGGGTGCTTATATTATCTATCTAACCACATCAAATAATGCCAGGCACACAGCAGAAGTTCAATAACTGTTCTTACTCTGCTCTTCCTCGCTTCCATCTGTTTGAAACAAATCATGCTCACTCCTTGACACAAGCTTCTAGCTCACATTGTTCCTTATTTAGTCCACTTTTGCACTCTGTGTATAACAATTCTATCTATTTCAGGAAATCAGCTTAAATTCTACTTCCTCTGGGTCCACTTTCTGCTCTGTACTCCTAAAGCAGCTGGCTGAACCACCCTACTGGAGCGCTTAACCTCAGCGTCACTCAAGTGCCTCATCGGCCTGCAACTCCGTTCCCAGTGGAGCTCTTGCTTCCTCGAGCCCTCTCTTTAATGG